GAGAAAATCAGAAACTTGCCTTTTCACTTATTCCACGTCTCTAAATTTTCCTGTGCTCTGCTTTGCTACGCCCCCTCTCTCACTCTCTGTTTCTTAGCAGTCCCTGGTGATACAGACGTAACTTGTGTCTTGTTTTTCTAAAACCCTAACCCCAATAAGCTAATATAGATATAGGCTTCAATTTACCAAACCCTACTCCAACTCTAACTATAAGTCGGCCAACGTTAAATCCTAAAACCCTAAATTTAGATAAATAAAATAATTACACCGTGAATTAATTAAACATTTAAATTAAACCAATTAAGTTAAGTAAAATAAATTAAGTCAATTTAAAACAACCCATTAAAATAAAAATGAAAATACTCAATTAATCAATTCAAATAAAACCAAAACCAATTAAAATAACAATTAAATAAAATCATAATTAATTCAAACAATCCAACAAACAAATAATCAATAAAATAAAATAAAATGCAATTAAACAAATAAAATAATACCAGGACTATCCTTTAAAAATTAGGGGTATTACACGCACCATTCGTTTTCTCTCTTCTTGAATTCTTGAAACTTCTTAAACTTCTTCTGTGTTTCTTCTTTGGAATAAAAAATAACTCCATATTCAACCAACCTGTGTCAGTTACCAAATTCTCCGAACTATCTTGTAAAAAATAATTCAAAAAATTCTTCTCGCCTTTAGTTTCAATCTTATAATTAATTGGAACAATTTTCTTTAAGAGAAGTTCACCATTTTCCACAAAATAAGCATTATTTGATGAATATGAAGAAATAATAATTTCATCAAATAAGCCAAATATAACTTTTTTCAAGGTGGAATTTGTAACCATACATTAAAATGTTAACTCACCAACTTGAACCTTTACCTCTTCTTTAGCACTTTCTTATTCTAAATCTTCTATTTTCACTTCATTCTCCTTCACTTTTTCAATCTCTTCTTTAACACTTTTCTTACCTTTTCCTCATTCACTATTTCAAATTCTCCTTCAACTTGTGAATCTCCAAAATCTTCAACTTCATTTGCATGATACATCTCTTCATTCTCCACAACTTTGTCATCAAGACTTTCATAATCATTTTTCATAAACTTATCATCCTCAAAGCATTGTACCCAATACTCTATAGGTAGTGATTCACCACTATAATTGGAAACGATGGTCTCGAGCATCTTCCAAACACAACTTAGAGTTTTGGACTTTCCAAAATACTTCCAAATTTCTTGATGTATTGCCTTTTGCAATACTACCAATGTCTTCTCTTCTTTATTCACACGAATCGTATTGGACATGCCTTTCTTTGACTCTTCTTCAATAACATCCCACAAATCACATGCTTTGAGGTATGAAGTCATGATGATTCTCATTCTCTTGTAATTAGAGAACATCATCTTCTCATTAAGAAAATACATTTTCTCCCCTTCATCATCATCAAGGAGAAACATGTTTTTCTTAAAATGTTAAACCTTCTAGGATCAACTTCGTCAGGCCTTCATAATAGTCTAGGCTCTGAACATGAAACCTGAACCTGGCTCTGATACCACTTTGTTGGCTATTTCTATAATACCACTTTCTAACTTTGCTCTGATACCACTTGGTTAGAAAGAGTGGGCTATACAAACAAATGCAACTCTATATAATTTGAAAGAGAAATGGAGGAAGAAATATATTATTTCACTTATCTCTTAATAAAATTGCTAGAGTACATGATTATATAGGTTTTGAAATCACATATCTATGGATTACATATAAATGCCCATAACTCTCATTTCTACCACTAACATAATCTTCAATAGGCATAACTATGATACCCCTCGATTCTAGAGCCACGAGTGATCAAGTCCGAGTACAGATTCGAGGAATATCAAACAATTAATATTTAACCGAACACAGAATACAAAATGAATTTAAAAAATAACAATAAAAAGTTGAAGGAATACTAAATTAAAAAAAAAAATCCCCAAACATAAATATTTAAACTCTGATAATCCAAACTTCATAAGTTTATAACTCAGGAATCCATCTCTAGTGGACCCCTATTAAAAACCCAAACCGAACGAAAAAAATAACTTAAGATAAAAGGCCAAAACTAACATCTGAAAAGAAGTCCTACGTCGTCGGTAGAATGGATGATCGTCTCTGCTCAGCTCGAACAAACCCTAAGACCTCAAACGTCCAATACCTGAAAAATGATAAGTGGGTCAGGCCCACTAGCAAGTTCTATGCTACTACTACCCAAACAGAGACCCGATACGCATGTACATCCTAACCAATCCAACAATAACTAAATAGTCCGTAGATACATATATATATAATCACACTACAAGACTCTCACTGGACTACAGGCCCGTCTCAACCTGACTAGTAGGCACCATACTAAACACACCTGAGGTGGGCATGACTACCTAAACCTAGTAGGGTACACATCCAACCATCATAGCCAGCTATGCATCCCAATGCATATACGCTCCCTAGCCAATGACTCTGAGACTCAGGCTCATATCGTGGCACCATAAAAATATATTTAAAATCCGTTCCAAACCAAAAGTGTCACTCAACTATTTAGTGATCTGACACAAAATATAGGTAGGACTTAACTTTTGTAGTTAATCCATCCCTTAATCCAGAGTAGATAGGACTTAGCATTTTTGAGCTAATCCCCCTAGTATGACACCGTCCCATACCGGAGCATACAATCCATCCATCCAATGTTGATAATATAAAAGACAGTAAGCATTACAATATCAACAAATCCATAAACAGTCTAACACCATCCATCCAATTGTTGATAAAACAGATGACATTATAAATATCAATATCAACACATCCATAACAAGTACAGCAAGAATGTATAAATAGCATGCTTGTCATACACGAACAGTACATGATTCTTTTAATAGTTTAGAAACGTAGGGCACAAGTGTAATCCATCTTTTCCCCTATCTACATACTAATATCAATATTAGAATTAATATGCTCACTTAAACCAATCCACATCATCCAGTAAGTTGATAATACAAAATATTGAATGTAAATACCAACTAATCCATATTAAGCAGAGTCAAAATATATAATCGAACATGCTTAACTTACACACTTCTTAATTATCCAAGAATTGAGAATACATTTTAACATATGTATACGACAATTTGTCCATTATAAATATATAATCATTCTGTAATCTAATATGCTTAATTTGAATTACAGAAACATGATTAAACAATATGTCCATTCACAGATAAATAGCAACCCATTAGGCTATGCACTTGAAATCCTCTACCTCCAAAAACAATCCATAAGTTCCCTTAAAACCCTAACGGTTTAATCTACCCATTTCCTTGTGATTTACTATATAATATCACACCCTCAGAATTTTTTTATAAGACTTAGATGCTACTGAAAAATCCCTGTGTAGCTCCTAATTGCATCTGAAAACACCAAATTCTGAAACCCGTAGCCAAAACTATCACTGAAAAGGCGAAAAATCACAAAAATTGGAGGAGCAGGCTCCACACAAGGTGGAGCCGCCTCTAGAATCCCAAGAGCCGGCTCTACCTAAGGTAAAGCCTTCTCTACCCTTTTGTTGAGCCTGCTCTACTCAAATTAGATCAAGCTCTTCCCCTGTGCATCTTCTTCTGTAATTCCGGCGGTGTTCGGCAACTGTGTTCCTCCAACCAAGTTTATTACTGATTAAAACTAAGTCCTAGGGAGTTCCAAAGTTGATTAAATTCATTACTTATTATTCGAAACCATATGGAACAATAATTACGCAAAACAGTTTCTAAGTGGACTAAAACCCATACAAGAACACATTCTGTTCAAGTATCTAACCCTGCGCTCCAGATTAATTTTAAGATTTCCTAAGATGTTTTAGAACTAATAAAATTCTTAATCCATTAATTGACATCCTTTAAATCATGAATTATGTAAAACAAAACTGTAAACAACCAAAACTGTAAAACGAACAATTAAACAATTCATGAACATATGTTTATTAAACAATGCAAGCATGCGAACCAGATTGATTTTAAACCTTTATCTGTTCCTGGAATTGAGTTAGAGATGCAAAGAACACAAGTCAAAGGGATAGAGTTAGTTATAAAACTTGCCTGTGAGATTCGATTCAAAAATCTCAACGTCTTCTCCTAAGCTTTTCCGGTGATCCTTTGGTTTTCCCTCTCTGTTCTCTCCCAGACTCCTCTATGCTTCTCTCTGTTCTCTTTATGTTGTGAATAGGGTTTTTGATCTCTAAACCCTAAGTAGTCGTCTAATGCTATATTTATAGGCTTAAGTAAAACCTAAACCCTAATTCTAATTGGAAGAAAATTATACAACCGACAATATAATTAATCTTATACTAAGTCGGCTATAACGTGAAAGAAAATTAAAACCAAACCCTAAATTTCAATTAACTATTCACCTTACCCACACAATTATACCCCGGAAAGAATAAACATCCAATTAACGTAATGACAGAAAATAAAACACAATTTAATAATTAATTAATTAACAACCAAAAAAAAAAAAAAACTAATCAAATAACAATTAACTAAAATAATTAACCAATTAAATAAATCAATTCAAACAAAACAATTAAATAAACAAGTCATTAAATAATTCACAACAAATAATTCACAACAATTCACAATTAAATCAACAAATTCACAATTAAATAAATTAAAACGTAATTAAACAATTAACTAAATACCAGGACTATCCTTTTTAAAATTAGGGGTATTACAATAACTCCCACTAACATAGTATTTACTAGGTTCAACTCTCATGATTCTTGATTTTACATAACCTTAACTCCCACTAAGACAATTTACCACCCACTAACATATATGATAAATTCACACATGCATCATGGATATAAAAATACTTGAAAATACTAAATACTAAAATATTAAAATCAAGTTTATTATTCAACAACTTTTTCTCTCTGCAAACCCATTTCTCTTTATAAACTCTCTCTCGAACCCTCATCGCCTTTCTCCAGGCCGCTCTCTCCAAAGCCAAGTCGCAATAGATTCGCCACTCCAGTCCAAGGTAAGTTCTTCTCCCCTCAAGGATTTTGATCGACGGCGGATCGAAGACGTCGTTGATGAAGAATATACAAGCAGTAGATCGGCGATGAAGTGGCCGCAACAGCGAGTAAGGCTCTGCTCGGCAATGATGAACACACCCACGCGGAGATAAGGTCGGTGAGGAACGGCGGTGAGCTGCCGATACTTCATACACAATCAACTTTAATGTCTTGCTTATATATATATATATATATATATATATATATATATATATATATATATATATATCAACAGTTATAATTAATTATATTATCAGATCATCTAGCCAAAAAAGTGTAATCATAATTTTTTTTTTGTTATACAAGAAACACAATAAATAAATAAATAAAAAGGAAAAACAAAAATTATCTTTTTTGTTTTCCATTTCTTTGTAAGAAATAAGTAAATCGATCTTCTACTTTAGGACACCATTTCTTTGATTAGCATTGCACCACATCAGTCATAAAAAGTAAAGATGGACTGTTATTCGCTATATATCAGTGAACCCCCTCTTTATATATATATATATTGATGGATTTGTGCTAAACTAGTTTGTAAAAAATGCAGAAGGTAGTCGAGCGAAGAAAATGAGTGGTATTTCTTATGCAAAAGAGGCAGAAAATATAGGAACAGCATAAGACCAAATAGAGTCACTGGATCTGGTTTCTGGAAGGCAACTGGGTTCGGCGCAATGGCTCAAGAGGGCTCAAATGTGTTCTTTAATGATGGATTGTCTCAGCCGTTACAACTCGACAAGCGAAGATGAACCACACCGGTGACGCAAGGATACGGTTGTAATGGAAGTGCTCGTCGACAACAAGTTTTCCGGCGAGCCAAACCTAGTTTTTTGTAACCCTAACTTTGCTACTGAGATATGAGGGATGAGAGAGATTGACTGTTTGGTTCAAGAGATAAAGCTAACAGAGAGTTATAAAACATGTTTGGTTCAAGAGATTGATTGTTTGGTCAAGGGTATATACGAAAACGACAAAAGGGTAAATTAGTCATTATATTTATTTATTTATTTTTGACAGCCAACAATGTCTGACCGGAGATGGGGAGTGTAACTGAAGTTAACCCCTGTTTTTTTTTTTTTTTTTTTTGTGGTGTGGCAATTCTCTTGCTTTCCGTGAACAATACTATATACATACATATATAAAATCATAAATCTGATAATTAAGTATAGAAAATTTTAAGTAGTAATTAAAATATTAATATTTTTGAATTTTTTAAAATATTTAGGTGATATCTCCTTTCAAAATTAAGGCACGAGTTTTCAAACACTACCTAGTAATGTGTAAGACAATGAACCAAATCTTTTTACAAAGAGACTTGAAAAGGGAAAACTAATAAAAGTAATTTTGTGTCATATCACTGGAATAGCCAAAGGAATTTTTATCCTTTTAATGTAAGCGGATGGAACCACACTTGAGTTTTTTTTTTATTTTCGAACCACACTTGAGTTTAAAGTGATAAAAAAATTAAAAATTAATGGGCTTGAGAAATAGGTCTAGCAATGCAATGATGATGATGATGATGATGATGATAAAGGTTAAGTATACCAAACACTCCTAAATTTTATTTTATTTTGTGTAAATAACACCCCAATCTTTTAGTTTGTGTATATAAGTCAATTAAAAATTAAAAATGTTACAAATAAGGGCTTCTCTAAAATGAACGGTTACGTTATAAAGCCTTGTGCGTGGCACATGACTAATTAATGGTTCTAAATACCCAAAATGCCCTTTTGAAGTCCCGAAAATGCCATTACCCACTTTCTATAATAATCTCATCCCCTCCTAACTCCCTCTCTCTCAAGGCCATTATGGTCATTTTACAATAAATGGAATTTTTTTTACTATTTTTTATTTTAATTCAAGAAGGGCATTTTAGTATTTTCATCACTTTATTAACGACCAGGAGATCCTTTTTCACCCCAAAAATAAATGTTAGGGCATTTTGAAAATATATAGAGGGTTATATATCCTATATGCTTATGACCCTAAAAATAATAATCCAAGCATGATGAGAATTTAATAGTCTTCTTATGGAGCATCCTAGTTCCAATTCCAGACTTGGGTGAAAAACACCAACACTTGTGAATTTAGGATGATAATTTGTGTTCGTGTGTCATAATCGTGTCATATCGATGTAAAGATATTCTATTAAATAGGTAAATCCAAACCCGACCTATTTAATAATCGTATTAGAAACCCTCAACGCTAACCCGACCTGTTTATTAAATGGATTAACCCGTTTAATGACTAACATTTCAAAATGAGACATTTAATATTCAATCAAATAATAAAAACTAGAAGAAAAAAAATTAGTCACAATTAACCCTAATATTCAAAATAAGAAGAAAAATCATAAAGCGTAGTCAAGATTTATGTTAAAACGACTTAAGTATTCATAATAATTGAGTTTTAAACAGGTAACATATTATATATGTCGTACTCATAATTATGACATTTTGAGTTAAACGGATTACACGTGTTGAACCCCCTCAATCCTAACTCGACATGATTAAATAAACAGGTTAATCGTGTTAATCCGTTTATGACCCGAACTCATTTAAAATCAACTCAAACCCGTTTATCTCGTGTCGTATTCGAGTCGTGTTGACGGATCGTGTCATAATTTGTCACTCCTAACCGTGACACGACGACATAATATTTTCGGCTGCAAAGCTTGAAACCCCATAATGTATTTGAGCACAGTTGAAAGGACAACCGTACCATTTTGCACGCTACATTGGCCAGTTAGAAGCAAATGTCAATATTCATTAATTCTCAACAAAGTAAGCAGGAACTTGAAGTTGGTTAGTGGGAACAAACGATATAGCTGTCTCAGTAAAAACTTTACAATGTCTTTCAACTAAAGACGTGCCTGTGCATGTTCGGGTTTGTGACCGTACTCATAATCAAGATGCACGAAGGCACGCTCAATCTCTGGTAGGAGCTCAAGCTTCTCCTGCAAGGATTCCCCTATGTCGTGAGCCTCTTGCAAGGGCATGTCAGTTGGCAGGACTATGTCAACCTCAACGAAGTAGTGAGACCCAAAGGTGTAAGCCCGGACAGTGTCAATGTTCTTTATGGCCTTGTGGTGGTTCCAACAGAGGTATGTGAGCTTCTGCAAGTACTCTGGCGCAGCTGATCTTCCGACAAGGGAGTTCACATTCTCCAACACTGTTAACGACCACGTGCGGATGGTGTACAAGGCCAGCTGCAGTGTGTAGAAGCTTTCATGTGTAAATAGATGTTAATGTTAAAAAATTAAGGAGGACGAGGAAAGCTGTCTTCTACAACCAAGATTTGTACAAAAACTACCAACGTTTATATAATGGTCCTCAACTCTCAAAATTCTCTGTGCAAATTACATTTTGCAAATGACGATTTTAACCATGCAACTGCACAAATTATTTTATATCAAAAAAGAAAAAGATCCAGTGTCTGATTATTGCTTAGTGATCACTACAGAAAAGAGCTACATGCGAGGTTATTACAAACATACAAATATCCTATTTGTTTTTTCTTTTGACAGGTACAAACTCGCGATAATTTAAGTTTTAACGGCATAAAAGTTGTGATTGGGCTTCAATAGAAGGGAATTTAAATCCCCCACACTTTTCAAGTGTCCAACACACCAGTGCACCTTTGTACATAAGAGCCATAAATTTTCAATGGAAATTCTAGAATGTCATGGAACATTCAGAACTATGTCTATGGAGAGTATAAGAATATTAGTTCCTCTAGGGAAATAAATTTCTTTTTTTATTAGACAAAACAAAAGGAAAGATAAGTAATGAAGAGGAGGATAGAGATAATTTTCACTCACAATAATTGCTCCAACAGGGTCCATCCAATCATGGAGATATTTAGCAAGAAGCACAGCGATGAGGCCAATGGTGTTGGTGATAACATCAAAAAAGTGATCCTGGGCATAAGCTTTGACAATCTCGTTGGTAAAAGAGCCACAATACACAGCCAGAACGAGTTTTACCAATGTCACGGAGAGCATTATACCAACAACCCATTGCTCTTGTTTCTTGGTCAAGTTAAACTCGGCATCCTGGGATAAGTAATAGTAGCTTATTTTGATTATGACCACAAGAATATAAAGAATGAACGTGGCAATGGTTAATATTTTCAACAATCACCATCAGTACACCAGCATCGCAACAGAAAAATGTGAATATCGACAGTGGAAATGGAACTTTAGCATGAAAAGTTTGAAATGAAATGTCCACTTACATCAGATATTAGTGTGCGTATTGACTCCAAAATTATCTGCAGTCCCAGAGTTGCCATGACAGAGGCAAAAACGAGAATTCCCTGCACATAATTGTGTAATGCAGGACTTGAGTTTCAAAGGCAATATAGGGTTTGTATACACTATTCAGCATTGCACCAGATATTTTTTAATATTTAATGGACTCACTACGCCTTATTTGCAGCAGAACCATATGCCATTGCCAACAAAATATCATGTATAAACAGTAGAATTCGCAATTTGAGTAAGACATTATTCAAAAAGAAATTTATTTGTTATCCCTGTCCTGCCTGTTAACCATGAAGATTTTGCCAGAGGGAAATCTATGCCAGAGAACTAGTATCAACTATGCAATGAAGCAGAAAATCGCATAAAGAACAATGAATCATAGGAAATCAGAAACAGGAGCAGTTCTTATAGTAGTAGAGTTTAAATCAAACAAAATTAAACAAAGAGTGTCTCGTGGCAATAACATGTGGGGGAAAAACAGATATTGTATCTCAAAGGAAAGAAATGGAAGCAAAGGAATTGGACTCCAACTTCAGTATACCAAATTAAGAAAGGTTACCTTCAGCATGTCGATCTACAACAAAACTCAGATCCATCGAAAACAAAGTTGTTATGAATAATCCCCATTATGCTTATATACGGGTAGCCTTGCTAGTGTTTTTTGCAAAAATCTAGCATCAATTTTGATAAAATAAAATGTATGCTTGATTGAAACAGTTTTTTTGATAGATCAGTTCAAAAATTACTGGATTTTTATTGGTCCATGCGGGTTGGAAAGGCAGTAAGGGCAACAGTAAGTAGAAGTACATTCAACTTCATTAAAGCTGCTAAAAAGGTGTTCAGCTTAGGTAATTTGGAACCATAGAACAGCACTTTGATCTTAAAATCAATTGATTTCCCTTAACAAAAATAAATTAGAGAGAAGAGAGAGGGGAAATCATTTGAGTAATATTACTTTTCTCGTGATAGGATTCAAGCTGTTTTACTTGACCATGATATCTCCCTGAAATAGCTAGGTAAGGCCTCCTGTGAGTCCCATATCTGACAGATAATTGATGTGGATCTCAGAAGAAATCCTCACAATATCCACAGTACCAATTATATCAGTACTGTATGCAAGTAAACCTCTAACCAGTAACCAAACATCCATCGACATGACTAAAATCACATCCATTCAGTGTTATGCTGCCTCACACACCTAAGACGTGCAGCTCACCCACAAAATACATTTAAGGCTAACATGTGCTTGTTACATCACAAGGTGAAACAACTAACAAATTAAGCCATGCAATTACCCATGGCCAGGCTAAATGCATCAGAAACGACTACCATGTTTAAGGCATCAAAGTAAATGAGGCAAAATACAAAAATAATGGAATAATATATAGTTCTAACATTCAATGAGAAAAGCAACTGAATGTGTGAAGCGCCAATGTATATGACATGCTTTAGCATATCTCTCGCAAATTTTCTTTCATTTCCCCAGTCATATACAAAAATAAATAGATCATAAAAAAAAAAAATCAAAGAATCTATCATCATGAATGTTCAGCCTTTACAGACACATTATGTCTTGTGATATATGCAGTTACGATATAGTGCATTAGCTTGTGCAATTTATTTTCTCAATCCTCTTTAACCATTACCCATAATCTTGAATCATTCAGTCAAAATGCATTTAAAATCCATAACAGGTTAAGAAGTTAGATTACGAACAGCTGCAGGACCAGTCTCTCACTTCTGTCCAAACACTTATCTCCCAAGGGGAACAGGGGAAAATGCAGGTCTAAATATAAGCGTCTCTAAATAATTCCGTTCAGAGTTTGGTTAAAACGGATCAGGTAAGTAAATAGGAGCAGGCTTGGATGGCTGGTCCTTGACTGACTAATGAAGATCCATCCGCAAAGATTTAAGGAATAAATGCGCAGAGACAAGAACACTGTACTAACCTAGGACCACTTGTCATTTGAACATAGTAACATGAATAAAATAAATAAATAAGGAATAACAAGAACACTGTACTAACCTAGGACCACTTGTCGTTTGAACATAGTAGCATGAAAAAATAAATAAAAATCCTATAAGACAAAGACAAGGACTATATGGGACAATTATAACTGAATTTTCTTTTTTGGAAAAAAGCATCAATTACAAATTGGATACATGCAACTGACTACTAAAGTGACAGATGCAGGCAGACTTACCAATGGCTGCATACGCTTCTTTCCAATAGGATATTGATATGGGTTTGGTGTCTGCATGGAGAATGCAGTAAACCACAAGATACAGCCCGACAGAAGATCAAGAAGTGAGTCCAATGTTGATGCAATAATGGCCAATGAACCACTCCTGGCGGATGCATAAACTTTAGCAACAAAAAGGACCATGTTTGCAACATTTGATAGTCTAATAGCAGTTGTTTCACTTCTAGCCAAATTTTCTCTCTCTTCCTGCAACCAAAAACAATTACCATTTCAGCCCAAAGCTTTTCTCTTTCTTTTTCTATTTCTTCATTTTTTTCTGGGGAAAAAAAAAAAAAAGAAGCTGAAAAAAGGCACGTTCTCTTTGACAGAGAGAAGAGTGGTAGATGGGGATAAAAACCTTTGACATCCCAGGAACAAAACCACGCTCTGCCAAGGCATCCATTTCATTGAAGCCCTCCAGCATTTCTACCTGCTGCTGATAATACTCAGCCACGTTATCTTCTGGAACTGAAGCCATTGAGCAGAATAATTAATAAGATTCATGCAGTCACCAAACATTAATTGTAATCTCAAAATCAATGTATCTAATTGATGTTCTCTTAATCTCAAAATCAATGTATCTAATTGATGTTCTATGAATTCAAAAGAACATTTGGCAACTTTTAAAAAGTTAAATATTTTGAAGAAAGCATTTTACTGAACTTTCTAGAAGGCTGAAAATGTGACCAAACAGCACAAGCAAAGTCCAAATTGAAGACAGTAACAATACATCTGATTAGCACTCTTGGATTCACAATGTATCCATGCTATTTGTATACACCTTTTAAACTACCTAGTTAGTTTCCATTTCTAATGCAACCAGAAAGTTTGAAACCTTTCTTACTGAACTCCAATATTTTGGCGTTAATTATTAAAGAAAGACAATTGTAAATACAAAATGATGCCTCTTCTTGGACTAATTGCTGACAATTTGTCGATGAGAAATAAAAAGAAAATTCGAGAGAGAGAGAGAGAAATTGGAAACTTTAAACTATTCTTTGTTTTGGCTTCAAAAATATATATCCATCTAACTAAACTTTGTAGAATCATGTGGCTCAGTAACCAGAAATTATCAGTCCAGTAGGTACTCGATAACAACAATATGCGAGGCTTCAAATTTAATACCTGATATTTTTCCTCATTTTTGTCATCAACCAAACAGAGCAGAAAGGTGAAACTGTTCACATACTTGCATGAAATTGCAGTTTAATGTATGCATGTGTTCAAATGAAACAAACTTACAATCTCAACTTTCAGCAAGATGAATAATTGACAAAAGAGCTGCTTAGAATTTATGATCTTGAGAGTTTAATTTTTCAAAATGTTTCCAACAAAAACTTCCAAATGGAAGCTATGCGTAGCTACGACCCCATGAACCAAGTACCCCCTCCACCAATCAGCTACGACCACAGAATTCCATCTGACCTCCTTCAACACTTCAACTGCTAATGTTTTGTGCTAAGCTTGCAGTGGAAAACCCATATTTTGACTCTGAAGTATTTATCTTCATTTCATATCCCTTTAAAGCAATCAATAGTAAGTACATCAAGCACGTGGGAGAACAAGCTTAACCCACAAAAACCCTTTGTTTCATATATATATCTATATATATATATATATATAATATGTACACACATTTATGTGTGTGTGTGTGTGTGTGTGTGTGTATATATCTGTGTATATAAGTTTATATATGTATACATATCAATGGACCACCTAAATTTGATGCACATGAGACCTTTGCTCCACAGAATAATTTAACCAGAAAAGAAAAGCATATATTCTAGCTAACAACAAAAAAGCATCAATTTCCGAAAAAATAAAAATTAAAAAATAAAAATAAGCATCAAAATGCTAAAATTTCCATAAAAAAACTTCAGCATCTAATAATAACTGCAAATAAAGTTTGAATAAACAAAGTGATTTTACAAAATATATATATCATCGCCACAACGAGTAACAATTCTAGCTAGCAGAGAATATTTCTTATTTTAGACACAGCTAAACACTTGAAGAACAAAAAAAAAAAGATAAATCCATTAAACTGATTAAAAAATAAATAATGATAAAATTACCTAAAACCCCAAGACAGTCATGGAAGCCACGAGGCGGCTTCTCCTTTCGCTTCGACACATAGAGGTCGCCGAAGTTCAGACGCCATGAGAGATCGGCATTGTTGGTCTCCGGCAACAGAAGTTTCTCCTCCGAGAGTTCGCAATCGCCTTCGAGAACTATCGGTTCCACCATTATCCGGTTCGCTTTGCAGTGAGAGAAAAAAAACCCTAGAGAAGTGAGAGAGTGCAGGCAGTATTCGTGGGTGGTACAAAATGGAAATTTAACAAACGACGAAGGGCTTTTTCGGGAACAAAAAAATCTGGAGTTTGTTGTGGTTTATATAAAGCATCGGAATTTCCCGAACCATGAAAGGTGGAAGTGGAGAGTACAAAATATATACATATTTATATTATCGTTATTATGTGTGTGCGGGAATTCTGATTGATCAGTTCAGAGTAAGGGTGGTACCCACGTCGTGGGCCCACCGATGCCTTGGTGGAGATGAGTGAAACGTGTACAGTGGTGATGGAAGTATCTATCAGCTTTGGAGTATCCACGTCGTGAAGATGATGAAAGGAATGGCAAATTGACAAGTGGGATCTGAGGTGTACCGAGTCAGATCAGATCAGATTTTTGAAATAACATGCGCCACATGATTCTCGTCCTTTGCTTAAGCTGGTGGGTCCCACCTCCATTTCAATTCGGGAAGTAACAAATTATTTCGATTCTTATGTTCGGTTGTCAATCCTCTGGATGGATCAAATATTAACACCGTTCAATTCTTAGATTACGAATATATTGTTTAATTTATTCAATAAGACGCAATGCACGATTGTTCTTGCAAAAATAAAAGGAATACTTCTGCAATATTCGAGTTGAAAATTTTGAAAGATATCGGGTAGCTAAACACTAATTAGGAATATATACTCAACAAAGAGAATTAATCGGGTATATTTAATGGGGGAGACTTGACCATGTTTATTACGTTTAAAGTCTTCAATTATAATTAATATGGTGAGATATTACATATATATATATTTTTTTGATAAACTATTAATACATGGACTTAATGGGTGTATATTATATGTTCATGAGGTCAAAGTCATGAAGTTTCAATAATTGAAAGGAACACAAAATTATTTTTATAAAATGAATTCTACTTTTTGTTTTTTACCGCACAACAAATTATATTACTATAATGACCCAAAACAACTACTATTATATCATAAAAACCTTAGAACATGAAATAAACTTATTAAAAGATCCTTGAACAAACTATTTAATATTTTTTTTTTAATATTTTTCAAATTCACAATAAATTACAAACTAAGGAGGAACATAGAAAACATCTTGAAATTATATTAAACGAATTTATAACACAAGGACTCGTTATAAATAGTAAAAAAATGATATTAGAAAAACAAGATATTGAATTCTTAGACTTATACATAAAAGACGAAAAAGTAGAATTACAACCACATATTGTTCAAAAGATTTTAAATTTTCCTGATACATTAGAAGAAACTAAGTTACTACAAGTATTTTTAGGATTATTAAATTATGGTTGAAATTTTATTCCAAAGTTAGGACATTTAGTAGGACCATTGTACTCTAAATTAGGAAAAAATAGTCAAAAATATTTTAATATTCAAGACATAGAATTAGTTAAGAAAATTAAATCTTTAGTTACTCAATTAGAACCTTTATAACTCCAATTTGAAACTAGTTACAAAATAATTCAAACAGATGCATAGCTCAATGATGGGTAGGGTTACTTCTTCAAAGACTGATAAAAGAATCTTCTCGAGAATAAGAACAAATTTGTCGTCATGCTAGTAGAACTTTTAATAAAGCACAATCTACTTTACCATCAACAGATCTAGAAATTTTAGGAGTAATAAACTTTATTGAAAATTTTCAAATATTTCTTAATAAAGAATTTCTTATAAGAACAAATTGTGATAATATAGTTAAATTTTGGTGTTTGGTTGTCGTAAAATATTTAAGAAAAAATAATTTATCCATAATTTTTCGACAAGTTATTTTACATGTCCCGCCTGATGGACTCGACCTCAACCTCAACGTGCCTATTTCGGCGTGATGTCCAGTATATCCACCTTGTATATATGATTTTTCTTTTTGTTTCAAGTTGATAGCACTAAATTGTTGTCTTGTTGTTTCCTTTTCGGGCCGTCACAGATGGCACCAGAGCTTGAGGATCTCATGCTTTAACATTTTTCATATAATGCAATTTAAATCCCAGCATGCCAGTCTATTCACAACAAGTAATACATTGCCAATTTGATAATATCCAGTTATGTAATAAGCCTTTTAAACCCCTATGCTAAAATGACAAACTTTGTATCGGATTCGATGATAAATTATTTTGTTTGCTTATCCACCACAAGGGTGAACACAAAAAGTATCTAATTCATATAAATTGACATAAAATAAAATAAAAGAAAAGGCATATTCTAGATTCAGTGAGTCGCGTTTATATTAAGTTCTTTTTATATTAGGTGTTTAATTATATCAAGTTCTTAAACTATCCTTCACCTTTAAACCTGTTTTGCACTTGTCTCTGTCAATCTCGAAATGGAGTATCAAATACCACCATATAATTGTATACTACTGTCATCCGCCCCCAATTTGGAATAATATATGACTTGGTCGATATACTGAGTGTGTTTAAAGCTATATGAATTGTGGGGGTTTATTTGACACTCTCCGTAATATATATATACCTCAGATAAATATATTTGACCCTCTCCGTAGCTATATGAATTGTGGGAGTTATTAAATGTGTAAGCTTTATGTGATTATATAGTAAATTCTCAATTAATTCTTAAGTCACATAAAGTGAGAGCGGGAACGAAAGTAAATTCAAGGGCGGGAGCGTGAGAACTGCAGAATTAAATCATAAACAATAAGAATTTAAGTGAGAGCGCGGAGCGCATTCGGAGCATGAGAGCGACACCTATTGAAAAAAATTGTGTGACTCAAGTTAATTTACTTCGTGTATTTATTTTAGCCAATATGTACTAGACGCGTGGAGAACATAGACAAATATCGTACAATCTCACATCATGGAAGACACGAGGCCTAAGTGGATTTATTTTAGCCAATATGTACTAGACGCGTGGAGAACATAGACAAATACAGTATAATCTCACATCATGGAAGACACGAGGCCTGAGTGGGGTTAGTGGGATTTTGTGGGCCTAAAATGCATTCCTTTTTTAATCATTCAATCCATGTTTAATGACTTTTTAATGCCGCATGCAAAATACACTCATTAAAGTAATTTTGCGGGTAGTGAAGTATAAGTATTTTTTATTATTTTTGTTTTATAGTTACGTCTAATATTCACTTTATACTAAATTAATACTGTGCAATAATATCATATTTTAGTCTACACGAAAGAACAAGATAAATTATAATAAGAGAAGCATTTTGATGTCGAGTTGGTCATGACGTCACCTCCACCACCAACCCACCTCCACCACCAGCATCGTCTTCATCCTTGCAATTACCATATTACCATTCATACAAGAATTATTTGGCTATGAGACGCTCTTATTTGAGTTGGTCGAATATGTAATGGGGAAGGGAATTCAGATTACGGATGGATGACCGGATGTATGGAATTATGTATTAATTTTAATTTGATTCGGTTTCAATGAATTAAAAAAATCTGAATTCGTCATCAATTCGTGACATAACAGATCGAATTGAATCGGCCCATAAAATAGCGGATCGAATTTTATCAAATAATCTAATATTATTATTTTTTAATCATAACTAATAGATAAATTTTCAAATTATCAAAATTAATTTATACAAGTATATTTAAATGATTATTAACAAATATATTCTTAGAGGCCATTTTTATTTATTTTTCATAATTTATTCTTAGAGACCATTAAATAATTATTAATAAATTTTTATTTAAAAGATCATTAACTAATACATTATTAAATATATATTTTTAAATATCACAAATCAGGTCAAATTTTTGATAATTCAATTCGTAATTCGATCCATGCGGATCGAATCAAATTGTTAGACTAACGAATCAAATAGTCACCCCTTATTCAAATTTTAGCTTTGAGAAATGCCCTCACCATGACATTTCTTTTTTACTATACTACCCCGTCCCAATTTTAATGGTACTTTATGGGAACATAACCTTTTTTATTTTATTAACTAAGACTTAATATTTTTTATTGCACATGTATTAAATGAATTATTAAAATTATTTATAGTGGATCTACTGTAATGTGTGATGATTTATACTATTACACTTTAATTGTTCAATACAAAAGATTAAATTGATAATGTTACAAAAAAAAAAAAATAATGTATTAACTTTTCTAATTGGGACTTATTTTGGGCACTTAAAAATTGAAAGGTGGACAGTTGTGGGATGGAGGGTGTGCATATATCATACAACAGGGAAAACCAACTTTTTGGCAAATTTGGATGGAAAAGGTCTAATAAAAATGAGAAAATTACTCTATTATCCCTCACTTCATTAAGAAGAAATATTATTGTGTTCGATCAAATAAGTCGAGTCAAGCTTTGAGTTATTTGAGTTTATAATTTGTGTAAGATAAAAATTGTTTTTGTAGATTTGGGGGAGCTACTTGTGTAGACGCATTTTAAAAAACATGAGCACTTAGGGTAACGGGGTAAGTCCAATAATTTTTTTTTAAAAAAAGACCAAAAAATCCTATTGTAGTCCTTTTTTCCATTTAAGTTCTAAACCACTCAAATTTTCACTTATATCCAGAAGTAAAGTTTTGCAACTACATTTTAAATTTTAAAATTGATATGAAATATATAATTTTAAATTATATGTTCTATATTATAATTTTAAATTATAATTAATTTAATTAAAGTTCAATTCCAAAATAATTTTGTAGATTTTATTTTATTTTTCTTTCTTATTGTCAAAAAACACACTCACGTACCCACAATGCCCAACTTAAAATATCGGTCTTCTCCTTTGGATGACGAATAAATACCATTAGACTACACTGCCTTTGATTATTTTGTAAATTTTATGACAATTATTTTTTATTTACAAAAATAAAAAAAATCTATTAAAAATTTAATAAAATATTATAAGTTATTTTCTATTGAAACAATTTGAATAAAAATTTATCCTTTTGGAAATATAAATATTAAAAAAAAAAATGTCAACACCAAAGGGTTGACTCAAGTGGGTAAGTTACTTAACTCCGATGCCCTAATGTCTCATGAAACATCAACTTTAATGTTTGATTCCTCTTATACAAATAATTACTCGAGTGGGGGTGTGTATCAACTAGGGAAAAAAATGAAATAAATCCAATTGCTAATAGAAATTTTTTAGACATGTTTAAATAGTCAAATAAAATTTTTTGGCTTACATATAAATTTTTTAAAAGAAATTATAATTGCAAAATTTTAGATCTAATTTGGTAGGGGTATAAGTGAAAAGTTCAGTAATTTAGAACTTAAATAGAAAATAATTTCAGAAGTACTCCTAGGACTTATTGATCCTCAAAAAAAATTAAAAACTTAATTGTGTTTTATACAAAAAGTATGACTTGGTGGTAATTTTTTTAAAAAAACTAACCAATAATGGTTCAAGGATCATATAACTATGAGCAAATATAATGCACTAAAAATCATGGGTTTGACATATTTTTTCATGAGCCTTACCTGACGGGCCGACATTTTCGAAGTTTAACTTGTTCAATAAATGAGTTTGAAATGTGTTTTTAGGCTTGTTTTGCTTAGTTAATAAATGAACGGTTGAACACGAGTTAAGCTTTTAAAAAGTCTGAATTTATTTATTCATGAACAAGTTAATTCATTTACAGAATGCAACCCAACTTTATGTTAGTAAAAAAGCATCCCTTCTCTTCTCTACCATACTTTCTTTCTTGTTGTAACAAGATGTTATTTTTTAACAATTAATTTTGGCATGAGAAAATGATTAATAAAAAAAATGTTTTAACATGTTAAAATATTTTCAATTGATATGTCAAATCCTAGTGACTCCTTCCACACTAATTTTGACATGGAGTTAAACACAAAAGTACTTGTTCAAATGGTAGAGTACTTCCTAGTAATTAAATTGAAAGTCAAAGTCATGGTATGTGAATTTGCCACATCTCACCAACATTCCTGAACATTATTAGTTTTCTAACCACTACATACCCATAATAGTTCAGGGGCCCGTTATTAATTACTTGTTCTACTTAAAAAAAAATCTCATGTTGTTGACCACTACTTTAAGGGCATGTTTGATAAGTGTTTTGTTTTGTTTTAGGATTGCTACAGTAGCTCCTTTCAAGCCCAAGATATGTTTGGCTGGACTTGTTGTGTTTTAAATAATTACAAAATAATTTCAAAAATGGACCCAAAATATGAAATACCATTTTGGTATTTTTGGTTGTTTCTGTACTGTTTGGGCTATATTACACTGTGGCGGAGGAAACAAATTGTTCATTTAACCATAGCGGAGAAACACATATAAAAGGCAAAATTGGTCATTTTCTAGGGTTTTGGGTGCAGCTTATCTTTGAGCGATTTTGGGCAACTCGCAAATCATCTCAGCCTCCCCAATCGCCTCCAACTCTATTCTTGTTCTCAACTCTGAACTTGCCATCTCTCTGTCTCTGCAACTGCAAACAACTGTAGTCCACAAGAATCAGAAGTTCAAAACCCATTTACTTCAGTTTATCTATCTGTCTGCAAGAATCAAAAGTTCAAACCTATATCAAAACCCATGTCGGCATATCATTTCAGATTGTTCAAAAAATGAAAACCCATATCTTTTGGTTTCCATCGCCCGCTGTTCCAGTTCGGGTTCGCCGTTCGCAAGCTTCCGCCGCTGGCCCGCTGTCTCTCAACTCTCAAAACTCATATCGGCGTATCATTTCAGATTGTTTTAATTTTTTTTCTATTTGAAATCAAGACCTGTGATTCTTGTTTAAATTATTTTTTTTGGCTAAATCAATTAATCTATCGAAATAATTTTTTTTTTGGCTAAATCTATTTGAAATCAAGGTCTGTAATTCTTGTTTTAATTTTTTTTTGGCTAAATCAATTTGAAATCAAGGTCTGTAATTCTTGCTTTAATTTTTTTTTTTGGCTAAATCAATTAGTGTATCGAAATAAAATTTTTTTTTGGCTAAATCTATTTGAATTCAAGGTCTGTAATTCTTGTTTTAATATTTTTTTTGGCTAAATCTATTTGAAATCAAGGTTTGTAATTCTTATTTTAATTTTTTTTTTGGCTAAATCAATTAGTGTATCGAAATAATTTTTTATTTTTTTTGGCTAAATCTATTTGAATTCAAGGTCTGTAATTCTTGTTTTAATATATATATATTTTTTTGGCTAAATCAATTAATCTATCTAAATAAATTTTTTTTTTTTGGCTAAATTTGTTTTAATTTATGATCTTTTTTTATATAATTTTTATTTTATTTTATGAGTTTTAGTTATAAATATTTGTGAAGATAATGACCGAAACAGATCTCTTGCAGGATTTGCAAACAACTTGTAAAGAGGATAATAAAATTGAAAATAGGTTATTGCAAAAATTTAAGACTTTTACATGAAAAAATATTGACAATATTTGAATTATTAAAATATACTTTTTAGATATTTTTGTAAATAAATTATAAAATTTAATAATATAAATTTATTATTTCAAAAAATGTGACATTGTAACCCTTACCAAGCATGTTTTGTATGTTTTGCATGTTTTTGTTTTTGACATTTTCACAGCAAAATATAGTTCCCAAACGTGCTTTCGAATTTTTTCCAAAACACTCTTACAACAAAAACACTGTTTCTGTTTTAGTCAGAAACAAAACGCCAAAATCAAAGCGCATGTCAAACGGGCCTTAAGTGTGAATTGGCACTTTCCTTAGAGGAGAATTGAGACAACATGTGTGATGGGTGTCTTATATATCACTAATAAAATTAAATAATAATGTAACAATAAAATAATTTCTTGGTGTTTAACAATAAAATGAAATAATTATTAACAATCTCAGACTTACAACATGTATGTTGATAGACAATAAATGCGAATATTAAGAGTCGTGATAGTTGCCTTTTTGGACTTCTTGAACATTTGCTTTTTGAAAAGTGCAAACAAAGGCTCACTTTTGTGTATGAAATGCCTTCTGATTATGATGTATTTGGTTAGAGGAAAAGACCGGGAGGGAGGGAAAGAGAAATAAGTGACTTTCTCGTATTTAATTAAAGAAAGGGAAGAGGAAACAAGAAGGAATGGTGTATTTCTCAATTTATTTTTTATTTTTTTATTTTTTTATGTACCCAAAATTAGGGAAAAGAGCACAGAGAAAGAAGAAGAATAACCAACACATATGTCATTTATATTTTTAACTTTAAAATTTTCAAAACGTGGTAAGGAGACTTGACTTGCATGGTCTACTAGTGGACTAGATAAATTATTTACCCAAGCATGAGTAAAAAATTATTTGCATAACTTATTGGTTCATAGATCGCAATGGTGTTGCATAATTTGAAATAAATATCTAAGTTTTGTACTTTTATATAATGAGGGTATATTGATAAAAAATGCATAAAAATATTTTTTTCATTCCTTCCAATCAAATAAAAAAATAAAAATAAAACTTGTCACCCCATTCATCATTTCTTTCACTCATCCCATTCAACCAAACAAAAAGTGAGGAGATACGTTATATTCCCTAGGAATGTTTCATCCATTCCTCTCCCTATTTTCTTTCTTTTTTTATTTATTTTATTTTTATTTAATCCTTACAATTTTTTCGAAAAGGACTTTTGAAACTTGGGAAGACTTTTGAAGGTTCGAGGAAACTCCCCCAAAATGGGCACATAAACGATAACTCCGGCACTATTGATCTCACCATGTATGCTTAACAATCGTATTGTCAATAATTTTGACATTTCTAGATGTTAGATATGGAGTATATACTTTGGATTTGAGAGGCTGAGATTAGGTCTGATTCGGGTTCAGGATAGCTTGTCCCGTTTGGGACGGGTTTGAGATAATCCTAATAAAGTTAGGAGCGGGCTTTAGAAGAGAGTTTATAACCCGCAAAGCTCCGAGCTTGCCAATTAATAATTATTATATAAATAAATATTATTTTATTAGCTATATTTTTTATTTTTTCTTTATTTCTTATCATAATTTTAAATTTTAACAATATTTTTGTTATTACGATAGTTAAATATTTAACCATGCTACAAAATAAGTTATAAAATTTATCTTAAATTTATTCAAGTTTCAATAAATTTTTTTCAAAAATATGTATATCAGGCTTGGAAAAAGATTTTTATTAATGGGACGAAGTTGGAAAATGAGTCTCGTACTGAACTTGCTTTGTTGACATCCTATATTTAATTAGTAAAATTTGGTCCGTTCCGCGTTCAGGGTCCACGGTATGTGATCCAATGGGATTCGGATTTCCTTCATGAAAGCTTGGAAATAAATCCGAGTCCGCTACATGAAAGATTGGAAACGATGTCGTTTAACCCATTTCTCAATTTTATCTCCGCAAGAGCTGCCTCGGTCGGTTAGTTAGCACCAAAAATATTCAAACTGAAACCACCTCACATGTACTCGGTACTACTTACTATTCTTGTCCTCGGCAAGTCATTGTCTCTACCAAACTGTTTTCTCTTTCAATAACGCATGACGAGTCAACACTGATCCAACAAACCCTCATTCTCCAAAAAATGGCATTCGATTACACAAAACCAGACACTAAATCACTCGTCACAGCCATCTATATCTTCTCTGCGATCTTGTGTGCCCTAGGTAGTTCTCAAACTCTCCGTCTCGATTCATCATCCAAGATCGATGAATCTCTTGTGTATCTGTGGCCTTTGCCCTCTCAATTCACTTTCGGCAACGAGACGCTCGTGGTTGATCCCGATCTCTCGTTCTCGTTCGAGGTCGGTGGCAATGGCGGTGTTTCCGCCATTGTTAAGGACGCGTTCGAGAGATACAGAGGGATCATATTCAAGCATAGCTCTAGGTTTCTGAGATTTAGGTCAATTAGGAAGTCCGCGTATGATATCAGCAAGCTTAGGATTATCGTGCGTTCTGATGACGAAGCGGTGAGTCCGGAATTTTTGGGGAATTTGAGTGAATTGAGCTGGTTAATTGAATTTTGATGATTTTGAAATTGATTTGTTTTGTTTTTTGTTTTTTCTGGAAAAGCTTCAACTAGGTACTGATGAGAGCTATTCTTTATTAGTGGCGAGGAAGAATGACCATTCGATTATTGCCGAAGCCACGATTGAGGTAAATTGAGACCGGAGCTCTTAATTTCCGCTTGTATGGTGTCCGAAACACAAATCTATTGACATGAAGCGTTGATTTATGATTATAGGCCTAGTTTGATTATTGGATAGTGACTATGCTTGCATTCTTTATGCTTCCTCCTTACATGAGTTTAGATAAATAGGACGAATCTGTGCAGTGACTATACATTGACACTTTTAGTCTCGTGTCAGGGATCTTGGTGTTGATATTGCATATTGTAATTCTCCTATCTGTTTATAATTTTTTTGGCTTATGAAGCAGCTTGTGTTTCTCAACTTGCGTTCTAAGCTTATAACTTGTTCATAGTTTAAGAAAATGCACCGTTACTCTACGTAAAGTTGATTTATATAATAAAGAAAAAAAACCTATGGAGTTAGTAATTTTTTGCTTTATGATGATGAACTTTGTTTTATACTTTTAGGGTATTATAATAAACAGGGTCAACTAAAGGATCGAACCACAACATTTTTTTTTATTAAAAATGACAGTATTTCAACACTTCCTGGCGTGGACTCGAAACATTTTCTCTTTACTTACCAGTTGCAAATGAGCAAAAAGTATCAGAGGATTATTTAGGTTAAATATTCACACCTTTTCCGCATTTCAAAAATGAAATTATCCACATTCTAGGCAATAACTATGTCAAAACAAGCGTAAAGGAAGCTTAGAGTCTGAGTTTTCTGCACTGGGAGACCTTAAAAGGAACAATTGATGTCCACATCTCCCATATATTGTGCTAATATTCATAAATTCCTAATGATCTTTGCTACCTGATGCCATCTTAGATTCACCTTCAACGGGGATTCCACTTAAAACTTTAACTTTACCTACCTAATTAAATTCCATGACTGTTTAATAGTTCCAGATTAAAGTCCATGAATGTTTAGTGGTTCCAGATTTCACCGTGAGCATTAAACAGATCTGGCTGTAATACAGTGGGTTGTGTTCATGTCAAAGAATTCATTAGTACTAACTTATAGTCTGGCCTTGAAGTGACTAAGACATGGACTTTTACCAACCACAAAAAACATTGTTTTAACCAGTATAATTGCAAAGCTTTTGCCATGCTATTAAAGAAGTCACGGTTACTGGTTTGACACATAGATAATGATAATACCTTGTTGAGGAACTGGAGAAGTCATCACATGAGACTAATTTTCTTATTGATGTAGCATCAGCCATTACTACATAGCGTAGCATCTCCTTAAGGCCCTGAAAAGTTGAGTATGTACTTGTATACATTGCCTTGTGTCTCCCTCTCCTCAGAGTGCATTAGGTTCTCATTAGTGATGTATTTCCATTTCATGTTTATATTTGTTCGTACTATGTTTATTTTCTCCACTCAATGTGTCATGTTTGCCAGAGTAATGATAAGTATCATAATAAGAATATGAACATTTCTAAGTGCTATGAGGCTATGGCGTGGACTTATTTATTCATTCTCAAAAATCATTTGTATTTGAAGTCTGGAGTTATATGATGTTGAGCATTCATTGCCTCAACCAATAGGTTAAGAGTGTCATTTCATTTTCATTAATGTTCCACATTTTCCAGCTGAATTAATAAGTGCACTGATTAAATAATAAACTTATTACATGTCCATCCTTAACACTTCAATTGATGGCATGCATCATCGATCTCAAGTCAAAAATCTCTTCTATAAGATTTTATTGAGTCTTATTTGTTCAAATTATTGAAATTTGCAGTTGAGTGTTATATAGGATAATGTCTTAATTTAAATTCATGCATTTAGGGATGCATCATGTGTGCAAATATATATGTCATGCTATATAGTTTTACTAAAAGTTGTTTGCATTCTGTTTACTGCAGGCAAATTCTGTTTATGGTGCATTACGTGGGTTAGAGGTATTTATGGCCATTAGATGGAAGATCAGAGTAGATATATTTATTTATTTTTATATATAGATAGATAGATAGATAAATAGATATTTATGTTAAGAACATGGAATATAAACAACCAAACCAATCAAGAGAAAAAATGGCCTAAAGAAGCCTTGCTGCTGATCAATCTCTACCCGTGGCCATGGTGATTGCCAAGGGAACTCTGCTAGCATCAAGTGTTCCTTCAAAATCGCTAGACATAGCCATTGGACTAATTCATGGGCTGTTCTGTTGCCAAGCTTCAAAAAGTTAGTAATGCTACAGCTTGAGTGAAGCTTTAACGCTGATTTCAGGTTCATGATAAAGGTTGAGATAGACCAATGAGGAGAAGAACAAGCATTCCACACTTAATCTCCTTGTTTTGTTGGTCTCGTTCTCACTTTATGTCCTTGTTGGATTTAGTGTGCGACCAGAAGGCTTGATATTGTTTTTAAATATATATTTAGTGAATTACTTATCAATATATATATATATATATATAGTGAATTGAACTGTTTATGTCTCTTCCTTTAATTGTAGTACCTAACACAGAAATTTAAACAAGTATTCAGAGAAAAGGCATTTATACAACTATTCAGAGAAATAGATAAAAAGATAGTGAAAGATTCAAAAATTGCTGTCTGAGTATTCAGACTGCCTTAAGCACCTTGTAGAGTGAGCATGTATCTACGATGGCGATTATAAAATGGACGAGGCCTTCTTACGAGCAGTGTTACTAATGGAATCAGATTAATTTGAAAAGACCATTCGTTTTTACTATCTATGAATTTTTACTGATAGGAACTACCTGAATGACTATTCCCAAAGGGTTTTTTTTTTTTATTATTATTTTTATTTAAAAAAAGGACTATTCCCAAGATCGCCCTACCATGCTTATTTCAACATCAAGACCTTTTGTTGATGAGCCCTACAGAACTTCACTTTTCTGGTTATACTGTTTATTGACCCATGTTCTACGTATTAGGTTCAAGCATAAGATGTTTCATAATCAAATAGACATGCTCTTACTCTGAGAGAATAGGCTTCCAGATACAAGTGATGAAAGCTTCTCAAACAATTTTGTCCTCCAATAATAAGTTGCCGTTTCCTTGTGTAGATTATATTATGGTATATAAAACAATTCCTTAATTTCCTTTTTCTTTGTATTCTATCCTCCAGACATTCAGCCAATTATGCAGTTTTGATTATGGAACTAAAACTGTACAAGTGTACAAGGCACCATGGTACATTCAAGACAAACCAAGATTTTCATATCGTGGACTTTTGCTCGGTAAGTCCGAAGTCTTTTGTTGACTGAAAATTAAGTTGGCTGGGTTTGCTGTCATCCTGGATTGGAATGTTCCTCAATATCTATCATATTACATTATTTTGCAGATACTTCAAGGCACTACTTACCAGTTGACGTAATTAAGCAAGTAATTGAATCTATGTCATATGCCAAGCTTGTAAGATATGCTACCAGCCATTTCTTTCCTGTTTACAATCGAAATTTATTGCCAGTACTCATCTGATTATTATTCCATCCTCTTCTTCCTTTAAACCTGCATGTAATTCTAATTTTGAGAATTGCATTCAGTAGAATGTCCTTCATTGGCACATCATAGATGAGCAGTCATTTCCTCTAGAAGTGCCTACATATCCAAACTTATGGAAAGGGGCATATACAAAGTCAGAGCGCTACACCGTTGAGGATGCTTATGAAATTGTTAAGTAAGATATATCCTCTCTTCTTCTTCTTCTTCTCTCTCTCTCTCTCTCTCAATTAATTTCTGTATCTTTTCAACCCTCAGATAATTCATGTACTTTTAATGCTTCTAAGAATCTCTTTCTAACTTATCTCCAATATGGTTTAACTATTTCAGTAATGAAATGATTGAAATTAATTTAATTTTTATTATTTTTTCTAATGATGAATTTTTTTTACAATCTAAAATGTTGTGGATGCAACCACTCAATGAAACAATGTTCTGTCATCAGTGTTGCGGCTAATTACATGTTACATTAATGACACTACAGTAAAGGAGTACTTTAAAGAAGGTAGGGATAGTAACGGTTTCAATTTCAAATAGGAGTGAAAATTGTGAAGGATGCTTTCAGTGGGCAAAAAGCACATTCTGTTATATGTCCTCATTTTAGCTTATAACCACTTCACAAGGCTCTAAAACTAATGAGTTCAGGTGTAAGTGACTGCCATTATTATTATTTTTTTCAAAAGTGTTCTTATAAAATCAGATTGTAGTAGTTGGAAAAAAGCTATCATGAGGGCACTCTCACGTGAGGCTGTGAGGGCACGAGCTCATGGTGAGACTCACTCTTAATAGTTTTAAGCTTTCCTCATAAGGTGAGCAGTGTTTCTTCATGATGGTTTAAGTGTGCTCTTTTATTCTCATTGTGGAACACTGGTAAAGACATTGCTTTCTAAGGAGTATTTTTATGTTAATTAAGCCAAAACAGAGTGACCCTAAGTATGTTAAAGAAAAAAGAGGGAAGGACTTGATTATCACAAGTGTAGCTAGCTCAGGCAACAAAACTACGACCATTATGTTGGCTTAATTGACATAAAAATGCTCCTCTATGATCACAAGATTATCGATGTGTTGTTTTTGATCTCCGGAATATTTGACTTTATTCATGTTTTATGTTTTTTTGGTTACTTTTGCATTTCTTGCTTTTCTTTTTGTTACGTAATATGCTAATATTGTGTTTTCCCTTTCATGTCTCATTTTTGTGGAATAACTTGAAGCTTCGCCAAAATGAGAGGTGAGTGTTATCTTCGAAGTTGGTTAAAACAATAAATTAATTTTCAGTGTGTATATTTATGTATATATAGAAATCAGTAGTTTCACATTATACTTCTTGTCTTTCTAATAGACGCTGTTACACTGCTTGATTTGGGGTTAACATGGTCCAATTTTTCCTTAATTGGTTGATAAATTTAGGCCTTGTGTTCAAGTGAGTGTCTATCTTGATTATATTGCATGATTCATGGCAGGTATCAATATTATGGCGGAAATAGACATCCCTGGTCATGCAGAATCATGGTAAATTACTACCCAACGGAAAATTTTTCTTCTTCTCGTCAAAGTCCTTGTTATTCTATATAATAGCTTAAGTTTTCCATGGAATTTATAAAATGTTTGAAAATAAATTTTGCATTGGAGGGTTAAAAGGAGTGTAGTGAGTCTCATTAAGGGTTCAATTCTGAGAGCCCTCTTTCTGTTTCTGCATCTGTGGCAAAACATCCTTCATAGGCTTGATCTGAATACCTACATACAAATTCACTTGTTTATATGCATGAGTATATGTGTTTATACCAGAGATCTAAGAAGCACGGACACTTCTATAAGGTGTCGTGTCTGTATCGGACACCAACACTTCATGGACACGTACTTCCTGACCATGTCCATAATTTTCATATAATTTTTATTTTGGGACACTTGGTCAACACATCTTAGACACTTGGCTAACACATTTCAGACAATTGACAACATATGCCACACTTTCTTATATAAAACAAACATATGGCAGTCCTAGAAACTACATTGTGAACATATATGAATGTGTCCAATATCTTTTTCTTTAAAAAATTGACATTTAACACATGTCATAGTATGTAATATGAACAAAAAGATAACAACAATGACAAGATAGAATAAGTAAACTCATATATATATATATATATATATATAATATTATTTTTATATTCAAATAGCTTCACCTTCTAACTTATGTAACTTTAGCATAGAAATTATAAAGTAATTAAATTTCTATAATTGTCTTATTCAATAGATATAAAAAAGAAAATGTCCATTTATATTCAGCCGTGTCCATGCCGTGTCCGTGTCCTACTTTTTTAGAATTTGACGTGTCGGTGTATTTGTGTCATATCGTGTCAGTGTCTCGTGTCCGTGTCCATGTCCATACTTCTTAGCCAGAGATGATAATGATGTCAGGGGCTTGAATTATAGAGGATTATGTTTAGAAATGCATCTGTGGACATGCTTTCCCGGTCACAAAAATAATCATGCGGCTTCTTTCTCTGTGCCTATTCTTAAATTCCAACTATGCATGAATGGTAATCAGGAGTAGTATGGAATGGGATGTATGGATGACTGCAATGGCAATTTGTGGGTTGCATATCCACATTTAGAACTATCCCATTTTTCTTTGAATGAATGGTACATTTAACCGGCAGGTTTGTGGTGCAAATATAATTTGAAATATTTTAAAAGTTATTTTTTGCATATTCACCCAAAAAAAATTTATTCAACAAATGCCTGTTACTTCAGTAAAATATGGCCGGTTAACAAATTGAGCTGCCTTGAACAGATCAGTTTTCAATTGTTACGAAGATTTTTCAGCTTCATTCACCAATAAATTTTGAAATATTGGCCTGCTTTCCGTGCAGGGGTGCTGGATATCCTGATCTATGGCCTTCACCTTCCTGTAGAGAGCCCCTGGATGTCACAAAAAACTTTACTTTTGATGTGGTGTCTGGCATTCTAACAGGTTAACCTCTATTGATATGTTCTCCCCAGCAATGTTTTCCTTTTTCCTGCATTTCTGCAGTTGCTGCTTTTTTATGGACACCAAACTTTTACCAACATATAGAATTTTTTTTTCTATATATTAACATGTGCTAGTATAGTAGTATATGATGCATTTGAAGCTTTGACTTTTACAATATATAAGACATGTATGTTATGTTTCATTAAACAATAATAGGCTGGACACATTTAGTTTGTTTTGTAGGAGAAGAAATACAAGATAGAAGAATTACAAGAGAAATATGTGAAGGCTTGAATGAGAATAATCACTCATTCACAGCTCTGGTATTTATATACTAACAGAGCACATGTTAGTATTACAAGAAAGGAAACTAAATAAAATCACTGCAGATTCTATACCTAGACATATGCGTAAATAAAATCAAATTACATGATTCTAGGCTATCATATCTCGGCTCATATAAGTAACATCCCATCATTCTAGAATATCATCTCTCTGCTAAGAGTAGGCTTTGTCAAAACTTTTTGGATAAGCCAAGTATTCATTTTATGATATTGCTATATAACAAAGCTTCAAATGCATAAGATCACCAGCTGCTTCCTCCCGTTGGATGCCACATTGTTCATAGATCCAAAGTAGACTACCAGATGACCGTGATAGATGCATAAAATCAAGTATATATATATTATCAAATGAATTTGACCAGAACCGTTTTGAAGGACCCACTTTGCTGCATCCAAGAGCCATGAATTTCTCTGCTGTACCATGCATAAAATGGCTGTATCATATATGAGACCCTAGCAGTTGACCAAGTATACATGTTTATACTGTTGACTTTAAGAGAATCAAAATAAGAGTGAAGTTGAAGAAGATGAGAAGAGAAGGAAGAGGAGGAGAGAAAAAGAGAGAGATGGGGAAAGAGAGAGAGAATGAAAGAATACTTTCATCCTTTCGCCACATTCTATATATACTAAGAAGTTTCAGAAATTACACATAAGCACCCTACATTATATAAGTAATAAGCCCCTGATAACATATACTGCTTGTGTGGTGAGCACATCTTACTCACCCCCGCAAACTATTTTTGTGCAAGTCCTGTTTTATTTGTTTGATGATTGTATCTGTGGTGTACATCTTAATAAACTATTTTCATTTAAATTAAGTAACAAACAAAATTGGTTTTCCCAGGTTGTAAGATATAAAAACCTTGAGTTTTCAACCATTTCTTAGAATCTGTAGTTTGTAATGAATTGAATCATTACCTACCTGGGATGTTCTCTTATAGCCCTAAAGACTAAACACTTTAGTTTTTGCAAGAACTTCTCTATAGATTTTTTATTTAAAATTTTCATTTTGCAGACATGAGGAAAATTTTTCCATTTGAGCTCTTCCACCTGGGTGGTGATGAGGTCAATACAGGTAAGTGCAAGTATTTTCTTATTAAGGAACCTCTTCCTCTATTATATGTCTTTTCTTCTCTGAGCTAAGCTTTCTATTAGCAAATTATAGCATTACTGCTTACCTTACAAAATCTGAAGGAAATTAAACTTTCTGCCATTCCATGTCTAGATTGATATGTTATTGAAGAGGATACAGTCAGTTTTTTTTCCCCCTGAATGGATAGAGTCAATTATGTAAATTGGATTCAGCTCAAGTATGATGGAGCCTTAAAGAGAGAAAAGAGAGGTGTTTTTATGCATAGCCTACAGTATAGGAGAAAAGAATATCAAATGCACAATATACTTTGAGATACATGTGTTTCTTTTGCAAAACACCACAAGTGTTATGAATCCAACAGAGACCCTACCTGATCTCCAAATGACAGTGTGAAAATTTAAAAGCAGAAGCATTAAAAAAATAAAAAATGATAATTACAATACTTACATGTTTTGCTATGAATTTTCATTATTCTATCTTAATATCATTTTAGAAGCGTTTTACCCATTGAACCGATGAATATATGGTAACTGTGTTAATTCAAATTAACAATTAATGCATCTGCCAATAAAATTGAATTGATTATTGAAAAACTTTGGTAAAACCAAAAATGCTTTCTGAAAACACAGTCAACACTTGTTTGTGCGGTAATTGGTTCTAAATTATGAATTTTGGCATTTTGACTCTGCGTGCGTGCGTATTAGATACTAGTGCTACTAACTTTATTTGCTTCTTTGTGTTCTAATTTTTTTTCTTTTACTTTGATATGTTTTATTTTACAGATTGTTGGAACTTTACTCCACATGTGAAGCAATGGTACATCCTTGCCTCTTATTTTTAATGTTCCCTTCGTCTGTTTTATTTTTCTATTTTCATTTAAAATTTTGTATTTATCAAGCAGTGTAGGGCTATTAGGAGAATGTTAAATTATATTTGTTATATTAGCGAAAGGACATGGCAGAAAACTTGTTCTGTGAAAGATTAGTTTTTTAGTGAGATTAATTATGTCATGCAAGTTATGCTGTCATGATTTGGAATTTTATTTTGAGAAAGCATGGTAACATAGTGCCTGAGAGTGGTAAGCATTAATACATTTATGGCTCATCAATATGCACTTGAAGATCACAGGGATTGAAAAAACATGGCCCATATGTTTATACAATATAAATGGCTCATTACCAGAGGGTCGTTGGCTGGTGCAGCAGTCAAAAGTTTGAGCATCAGCGCCACTGGTGTGAGCTCGAGCCTCATAGCAGCCGCTTTATGAAAGTCCAAAGATTTGGTCTGTCTCAAGTGGAATGGTATTAGACCTGGGAATCTGTGATAACCATTCCACATAGTGCCTGCTGTATCTTTAACTTGTATACTGGAAACCTCAAGCATGCTAGGTTTTATCTTCTTATAACTAAAATGCGCAGTGTTGTTGCAGTCATCCTATGAGTCGAATGTCAATATTTAGTTTTTAATGATTCATGTTCGTTATGTGCAATTCCTTTTGCAGGCTTCAAGATCACAACATGACTACTAAAGATGCTTATCAATACTTTGTACTCAGAGCTCAAGAAATAGCAATATCAAAAAGTTGGATCCCTGTCAATTGGTATGCCCTGATTTTGTACCAAGATAATTCTAGTTAAAATATGTCAAGTAGGCTGGGCCATAATTATATGCGGTACAAGTTTTAGGAGAGAGCTCAGTTGTTGCTACCTGGATCCTTTTGGGATTTTAGAAAGTTTTGGGAGGTCAATAGAAATTACAGAAAGGATGATGCATAATGAAATTCTAACATATATTTTTTCTTTATTAGCTAATCTCTGAAGACAATTTTTTTTTTTTTTTCCTGCAAGCATTCGTAAGTTAAATATAGGATACATGATTAAGAAGAGGATTTCTTGTGATATTTAGCATGCAAGAGAGAGAATGAGAGTTTCTATTAATATTTTCCCAATTATTTTAAAATATCCATGGCTAGACATGACAAAATATGAATTCTCTTTTCTCAGGGAAGAAACTTTCAACACATTTGCTGAGAAACTCAACCCGCTAACTGTGGTGCATAACTGGTGAGTTTCTGATCGGGTTCCTGGGTTCAGTTCATGATGATCTTAATCCACAGGTGTTATGGTTCATGCATAATGAATTTGATGTATTATTTTAGGTTGGGTCCTGGTGTTTGTCCAAAGGCTGTTGCAAAAGGTTTCAAATGTATTTTCAGCAATCAAGGTGTTTGGTACCTTGACCACATAGATGTTCCTTGGGATCGTGTTTATAATGCTGAGCCACTGGAAGGAATAACTGACGCTTCGAAGCAGAAATTGGTTCTTGGGGGAGAAGTTTGCATGTGGGCTGAGGTAGTTGATGCATCGAATGTTCAACAAACTATATGGCCTCGAGCTGCAGCAGCTGCAGGTATGCTAATTGTAAGAGTAAAAATCAGCTATAGGACTCACCAGAGCAACTTATCAATTATTATTATTTTTTATTTATTTTTTCAGCAAGGAACTTATCATAATGGAGTTTGATCATATTGTTATGAATTGGCTAATGGTAGAGCGTATCTTATGCTTTAAAGATCTAATTGGTCTTCTAATTGTTGACCTTCAACTGGTTCTTGGGAGTTATTTTTGGTTGTTCAACAACTCCAGCCAGTACGGGCAGGGTGAGGCAGCGGGTGTTTGAATTTTGCCTGAAAATGAAATAACTCCACCTTCATGGTTTAAATGTCAAACGAGTTAAGTCAATAATTTGGCAGTATATTATTTTGTTAACTTTTTCAGGGTCACTCTCAATAAGCCATCTAATGATCTAGGCGACAATTTACTTCTCTAATTTTTTTTTTTTTATTTGAAAAAAAAAAATTGCTATATGAAATAAATGACCGATCCCATTTCCGTAGGATGTCCATGCACCCTTCCTGAACATTTTGCAGGTCCCCGTCATGTCTTTCATTTTGGGGAAGTGGTGATGTTGTCAACAACATTATCCTTGGAGAGAGAAACTTGAGCGGGTATCTAGATGAGATGCAGTTTGGTTATCTTTCTGGTTCAAATTGGAAGGTGTTCTTGATTCAGATATGCTTGAGGAGCTAGTCAGTAAAATAACAGATATACGTGATCTGAAAACAATTTAAATATTAAGTTTGAAGAAACTTTGGATGTGCGAGACAGCATTTATTTTTGCTGGAAAATTGACTTTCAGTTGGACATTCAGTATTGTTATTTAGAGGGGGACATGCGTAGCCAAGCTTCAAATTATCTGGAGAGAAAATATTCCATAATCTTCATTTATCACCACATTTCAATTTTTATTTATTTATTTTTGAAGTGATGGTTTAATGACATGAGACGACTTAAATCTTTGTTTGATATTGAGGGAATATTCCATTGAAATGGCTTCAACCCTGACCGTCTTTTTAGCTTGATCAGCACTCGTAATAAAAAGTTCAGATTTTGTGTTTTTCCCTGTTCTCTGATTTCTTCTTTCCTTTTCCATGTCTGAACTCTGGTCATGGAATAATTCATAGTTTCCACTTGCACTTGAAGGCAGAGCCTTGAAATTTTGCATCTCATGTAGGGAAGTGTTCGAAATGTCACCATATGTGGATATTTTTCTTATTATATAACACACAAGAATAAGGAATCATACTGCTTTAAGTTTGATATAGTTTATATGTAGTGGAACGGAGGACTGGAGAATGAATCCGTGTAGTCGACTGTAGCTAGTATTAAACCTTGTTGAGTTGATTCGTGATTGTTAATCAGGAATATTTAACACCATTCCCTTAGAGTTACAACTGCTAGCCTATATAAAGCATTTAGCAGTTCCTGTCTTTTCATCTCAAAATAATGCCTCTATGCATTATGCGAACATGTAATGCTATATAATCTAGGACGCGGTCTTTTTGCTATTTTTTTCCCCCTGGTGATGTTAAACATGCTATTCACGCTTACCTTTTGTTTTCTTTGAAGAGCGCTTGTGGAGCAATAGAGATGCCACATCTACACGAAATACTACAGTAACTGCATTACCCAGGTTGCAATACTTCAGATGCCTCTTGACTAGGCGCGGGGTCCAAGCTGCTCCTGTCACAAATAAGAATGCTCGAAGTCCTCCAAGTGGTCCTGGGTCTTGCTATGAGCAATGATGATTCTTCTAGTTTCATCATACATCTGAAGCCGCATTCAATACTTTGTGAATAACAAAATATGAATAGCTTACCAGCAGATCAAATTTTCCGTTATTTCAGTCCAATGGGGTTCAAGCTTCTCCTGTTTAGTAAGCTCGAAGCCCTCCAAGCATTCCCGGTTTTGCGATCTGAAACTCCGTGTGTAATAAAATATTCAAGTTTCCAGTAGATCAAACTGGTGGTTGTTGTTGTTGTTAATTAAATTTTGTTTTTTTGTTTTTGTTTTTGTTTTTGGTGAGTGTCATTCTTGTTGATGCTGCTATTAAGACGAACAAATGTATTTAATTATCTTTCTTGGGATTATTCAAGACATTCAATTGTTAGTTTCTTCATTCTCTGGTCAATTCTGTTCAATTTTAATTCAATCCTGGTTTAACTTGTCAAGCAATGTAAATAATTTCTTGTCATACCATTAGAATTCAATTCTCTTGATCTTGAATTCAATAGCATTGACGTTGACTTGATGGTTTGCTAAGGGAATATTTTCGCTATATATGTATCTTATCAGAAATTTAGGGGTCTCCCACTAAATGTAGAAATCAAGACCAATGAAGGACTTTGCTTGGAGATAACAACTTGGAACAATGAGAAAGTCTTGAAACTATAATTTGCATTGAGATGCCCAACTGAATCCACACGGCTCCTTTACTTTTTAGTTTCTCTGTGTGGTCTCCCACTTTCTACGTAAAGTAAATTATTGACTCAAGGTTGTTTAATGTGCATGCCTAAGTCTAGTTTCATGTATATGGAGAAATTATTACATTGTTCCGGGTCAGTCAATCACGAAATAACACATAAACAAAAATAATGCTTTATGATTGATTCAGAATTAGTCCAAAAATAATGTAATAATTTTTAATGCGAAATGCTGAAACCTCTTAATTAGTGAGTGTGCGTAGTGGTGTGAAGTTATTTTTCGTACCATTTTTTAATAAAGATTGTCAATTTGACATTTGTTGAAACTCCATCTTCATTTCTAGAGGTAATTTACATTCCACAATCATCTCATTTGCTTGGTTCAAGAATGGATCACACAATCTCTTGTATATATGGAAATTTGTTAACTTAGATTTTAGATTAAATCACAATGTCAAAATGTCACAATCAAGTTATCGTCATTTAAAGTTGTGACCACAACGTCTCAATAAAGCCTTCTTACGCCTCAATAACACCATCTAACGTCAGGAGGGGTTGCTAGCTCTACCGTTGAAAAAATATATTTATATATTAATATGACAATCAAATTTACACAATCTTATGGAAATTTTTGTAATCTAAATTCTAGACTAAGTCACAATGAAGTTATCATCATTCAAAGCCGTGACCTCCACGTCTCAATAAAGTCATCTTACGCCTCAAAAACATTATCTAACGTAGGGGTTGCTGGCTCTACCGTTAAAAAATATATTTATATATTAATATGACAACCAAATTTACATAATCTTATGGAAATTTTGTAATCTTGATTCTAGATTAAGTCATAATAAAGTTATCATCATTCAAAACAATGACCTCCATATCTCAGTAATGCAATCTTACGTCTAAATAATGCCATCTTACGTCAGGGGTTTTAGGCTCTACCCCTGCAAAAATATATGTTGATGTGTGAAAATGAATTTGATAAAAACAGAAAAAAAAAATACATAATTCATAAAGTGAAAACCCAAAGCTAGAAAATACGTTGTACATATGAAATGGGAATTTTTTAATTAGTGAACATTATTCAAAAGAGTATGATTTATTTTATTATTTATTATCTATTATCATGGACATTAATCAAAATGCTACGAGCTTCTCTTCTGAGGATGAGTTTGAATGTTTAAACTTTCACAGAAAAAAAAATAAAAATAATAATAATAATAAAATAGAAGTGGGGACCCTTTTCACATGACTTCTGTGTGTTTATATTATAAATAGAGGGAGGCGTTCAGTTCAACTTCTGTAGAAAAATAAAGACATATTGAAAAACGACTGCCATTGTCCCCTCGTCATTTGGCTTCCAATTCTCTCTCGCCGAGTACCTCCACACAGCCGCTACTCTGTCTCTCTCTCTAGGTTTCCTGTGCGTGTAATCATCTGTAAGTCTCTCTCTACTCTCTCTCTCTCTATTTCTCTCTTTAGAATCTACTCTCTACTAAGAAACCCTAGAAGAGAAACCCTAGAAAAGCTTACAACCATATATATGTATTTTTTCTTTCAGTAACTTAGTTATTTAGTCTTTCTTCTACTGCGAGATCTTAGGTTTTACATTTTATGCATTGTAGCTAGGGTTTTTTTCCTTTTTTTATTCTCTCTCTCTTCACACCAAATCTCAGATGTGAGACCACTGACTTACGATTAGTACTGTTATTGTTTTTCATAATTTAACTTTATATTCTGTTAATTAGTTGATTAATTGGATACACAGGTGAAAATTTATGAACTGAAGATCAGGTACGCTTGCTTCACTAACTGTAGCTTCTGCTTTACCAGACGTGGGCTCTGATTTGTTGCATTTTGGTTATGTTTACTATCTTCTGCCATTAGCACAGAAAAATTAGGGTTTTATATATGTGATTGGTTGTTGTTGTTATTCTGGGGATTTGAAGTGGGCATGTTGGGGGAGGATGATGGGTCTTCAGGTGGTGGTGGTTCGAGCGGGTTTTCTGGAGGCCGGAGAACCTTCTGGCGGTCAGCGTCGTGGTCTTCGTCCCGTTCCACACTGCCACCACTTAATCCTGACAATGATAGAGACGGTGTGGATGCAAATGGGAATAATGGTGGACACGGCAGACGGTTTCCTGTTCCATTAACCCCTAGATCCCAACAGAATTGTAAGGCTCGGTCGTGTTTGCCACCGCTGCAACCACTGGCTATTGCTCGCCGGAGCTTGGATGAATGGCCAAAAGCAGGGCCTGATGATGTTGGGGAGTGGCCACTTCCTTGCACACCTCGTGGGAGAGATTTGAGCAAGCATGTGGATAGATTGAAACTCGATTTGTCAACCATTCAGAGTAACTTGGACAATAATGGTGGACTTGTGAAGAGAGAAAAGATTGCATTCTTTGATAAAGAGTGTTCCAAGGTGGCAGAACACATTTATCTTGGCGGGGATGCGGTGGCAAGAGATAGGGTTATACTCAAACAGAATGGTATTACCCATATTCTTAATTGTGTGGGCTTTGTTTGTTCGGAATATTTCAAAGACGATTTTGTATACAGAACTTTGTGGTTGCAGGACAGTCCTTCCGAAGATATTACTAGCATTTTATATGATGTTTTTGACTACTTCGAATATGTCAGGGAACAGGGTGGTAGAGTTTTTGTTCATTGTTGTCAAGGTGTCTCTCGGTCCACGTCATTGGTGATTGCTTATCTTATGTGGAGAGAAGGGCAAAGCTTCGACGATGCATTTCGGTATGTGAAAGCTGCAAGAGGAATTGCAGACCCAAACATGGGTTTTGCATGCCAGTTGTTACAGTGCCAGAAAAGGGTGCATGCTTTCCCTCTGAGTCCCAGTTCGTTATTGAGGATGTATAGAATTGCCCCACACTCCTCGTATGATCCTCTGCATCTTGTCCCGAAAATGTTAAATGATCCTTCTCCATCTGGCCTGGATTCTAGAGGTGCCTTCATCATTCATATTCCTTCTGCAATCTATGTTTGGATTGGTAAGAAATGTGAAGCCATCATGGAAAGGGATGCTAGAGGAGCTGTTTGCCAAATTGTTAAGTATGAGAGACTGCAGGCGCAGATAGTAATGATTGAGGAAGGGGAAGAACCACCATGCTTTTGGGATGCCTTTTCCAATCTCCTACCTTTGATGGATAATTCTGGCAGTGAAGTGGAGAATGTTGAATTGTCTAGTAAGATTTGCCCAGGTGAGAGAAAAGTGGATTCATATAATGTTGACTTTGAGGTTTTTCAAAAAGCAATAATGGGAGGTTTTGTGCCTCCATTCCCATCATCTGAGACTGCGCATGAAACCCACCTTCCTGCAAGAGAAGGCATTTGGAGTGTGCTGAGGCGTAAGTTAGCTTCTGGAAATATGAAAGAATTCGTCTCAGCTTCGAAGTTGTCTCTCTCCAGAGTCTACCCAGATTCCATGTTGATAGTAGGTGCAGATCATTCTGCAAACAAAGCATTACATTCTTCTGCAAATTTGTCATCATCATCACCGTCGTCAATGTCATCATCCTCATCATCATTGTCTTTGTCTTCTTCACCTCCTTATCTCTCTCCAGACTCTATCTCTTCTGATTTGAGCACCAGTTCAAAGTATCTCTCGGATTCCCCTGCGGTGTCTCCTTCAACCACTTCATGCTCCCAATCATTATCTTCTACTCTGTCTAGTTTTTCTAATTTGACCCTTTTGCCATCTAAAATTTCTCCTCAGTCCATATCTAAAAATTCTGATTTCATTGATGTTAATTTTACGAGGCAGCCTTGTTCTCAATCACTCCACTCACCATCTAAAAGATTTCAACGTTCTATTATGGAGCGCAGAGGTAGCTTGTCAAAATCTCTCAAGCTGCCATTGCTGACTGATGATTCCAGGGATAAGGATGCCCCCTCAAGTTTTCCTGACAGTCAACAAGATGGTTTGAGGATAAATAGAAATACATTTTTTTTGCATGGGCCTCAAAATACAAAGAATATGGTGGAGCCCAAGGGAGATCAAGAAAATAAGTTGCAGGGATCATCTGGTAGAGTAGATAGTGTTTCATGCGATGAAGAAGCTGCTTGTGTCAAGATTTCTGATGAACCATGGATAAATCATTCTTCGGGAGGGAATGTGTCAACTTTCTCCACTGGAAAAGTGGCCAGTGGCTCATCATGTTGCGAAGGAATGCAACCACTAGTATTTCGCTGGCCTAGTTTGGAAAAGGTTGTGATGTCTTGTGCAGGTGTTTTGGATTCCAAAGCTGCATTTATTCTCAGTTCTCCAAGTTCAGGTGTAGGCAAAATTGAGGATAGGATTCTTTATTTCTGGGTAGGGAAGTATTTTGATCATGATGATAGCAAGATTCGCTTAGTTAGCAACAAAAAAATTGGTGATTTAGAAGAGGTTGATTGGAATCAAGTTAGATTTGATGTTCTTACTAAAATGGATCTACCAGCGGACACTAACATTAAGGTACGATTATGTTTGAACATTTTTTAATTTAATTTTGTGGTGTTGTCTTACTTCTCTGCTATATGTGCAAGTTTATGGTGGAAGGTACCATTTTATTGTCAGGTATACTATGCTTCATGATGCAATTGAAGGAGACATTATTAAAGACTAACTTGATAAAACCTATAATTAACGTCCATCTGTTACTGGGAAAGACAATAGACAAATCCTAATCATTTTTGTAGAAATCAAGCTGAATGAAAATCAGAGCATCGAGTCTAATGGTGTAAATGAACCTCCATTTGAAACCTCAACAAATTTTCGAAGATGACATCAAAAGATTTTGTGCGAAAACGAAACAATATGGCAATTGGACAAAATCCAGAGAGAGATTTTCCAAGAAGAATTTTTTAAAACATCCTTACTTCTAAATGAAATTCATTTTTGGATGAAGTTAAATGATGTTATGATAAATGTATTATCCCCGTTTCATAAAAATATCTACACATCTTATGTTAATAATGGTCCTTGATGTCTAAAATTGGCACGCGTTACGCTAAACAGTACACCACATCTAGAAATCTTAAAGAAAAATGAAGATAGTTGTACCATAGTTTTGCTACCTTACTCTGTATCCTCTCACTTGTCGTGTTGCAAGCATCCAGCTTCAACTCCCAGACATTCTTCCTAGGAACAAAGCAACCACCCCACCACCATTATCTGACGGTAGGTTGTTTTGATTTCAATGGTTGGCAGATCCCTGTTGTCCAGGACTCTTATCATTGATGAGAGTGTAGCCAGAGCATCGGCAAGATGATTGAAAGTCCGAGCAGTGTGATGAAACTTCATGTATTTGAATTTTTTGGCACAATCTGAGGAGGCAGTATTTATGTCCATAAGTTTCTAAATCCTTTGTTTTGCTGGTGTTAAAAAAATTGATGCTTTTTCTAAATGAGTTAGTTCAACTTGAAGTCGAGCTGAGATAGATGTGTGTATCTTGTGGTCAGTTCAGTAACTCATGCTTCTTTTTGGTCTCATTAATAACTTGGGAGTAGATGGTTCCTCGTTGCATTCGATTTTAGAGGGTTGTTATAATGTAGGACATCTGAGATATTGAGGCTGAATGAATGATAAGGATTAGTGGTGGGTTAAGCAACTAAAGGTAGGAAATCCAGGAATGTATTTTGAGCCTTTGGTTCGTATCATAATGTTGGAAGGAGAGTGAATAGTGTTGTGAACAGTTTTCTAAAAGAAGAAACATAGTTGTTAAAGGCATGCCTAGGCCAGCCCCAACCATAATGGCTTACTTAATGACTGCTTCAATCAGATGCATATAAAACGCTCAAGCGCCCACTTTTAGTAGGCCTCAGGTTCAGGAAAAATTGATATTTATTTTTTAATCCTATGTCATACCATGGTTTTCGATTGTTCGTTTTTTTTTATTTATTATTATTTTTTTTTAATAAGTAAAATTTTATAAAGAAAGCGCTCAGAAGGGGAGCGAAACCTAAAGACAAACAAAAGGCCAAGAAGCTCCTCAAGCCTTCAAAGAGGCCAAAAAAACAACAATCTCCTCAAAAGATCTATAATTTCTCCCTGAAACCCAACAAAAAAGGGTGGAAATAATAGAAAACTTAAGCATAGAAGAAGGCTTCTCCTTTCCATCGAAATAGCGCCGATTTCGCTCGAGCCAAACACACCACCATATACAAAGAGGTGTAGCCCTCCAAGCATCCTGAATGAGAGCCCCCACTGAGAATCCTCTCCAAGCCTCAATCATCCTGAATGGTTTTCGATTGTTCATATTCTCATATATTTGGGAATTCGTGTGCTTATGGTTGACTACTTGAATTATTGTCTGGTCTTTGATTCTAAATATAATGATAGTATAATTTACTTTTAAATTAATAAGATCTTACCACCCTCTTATCTTATTTCCTCGATATTTGATTCAGTTGAAAGCATATGCAAAAAGGATGCATGCCTATTCACTAATTAGTCCTCTTAATTGATATGCAAAGAAATTTAAGTTTTTAATTAGTCTGTACTGTACATTTTGAGTTGCTTCAATTATGAGTATAATTAATATATGTTTCTTCTGCACAGTCTCTTTACTTCGATCAGTTTTGTTGTGCTCCCAACTTATGCTACTGCTTGTTCTTAAGTTCTAGGAGACATAGTCACATTAAATAGCATGGCCCTTTAATAACCATGGAAGAAAATACAAATTGGAAAACAGAAATAATGGAAAAGAGAGGAAGACGGATGTAGGATGAAACCTTGAGCAAGGGTAATAATTCCAGTCTACAATTGGATTTTGATAGGATAGGGTTTTACTTATAAATTTTCAGTTGAGAAAGTAAAATCGTGGTTTAAATAATGAATAGGGCTAAATTGATTTAATTATTGGGATATTTTAGTTTTAAAATCAGAAAAAAGGGCTTGCTAGAATAGAGGAAGCACCACCGTAAATAGAGTTTTGGTAGAAATCAAATTTGTTGCAATTTACTGCTTTTGTGCTGTACGCGAGCAAGTCCTTGTTATTTTCTTGATGGGAAACACATTTGACATAAATTAGAGTTTATGGCGAGACTGAGGACCTTGGGAGTGCATGACTCAGCCACTACCTCGTCTATATCTCTTATCCTATTATAGATGATTGCTTGTATTTTTGTTAACCAGTTCTTGAAATGTAAATAAACTTGGCTTCTTTCAATATAATTGCACAAACACTTCCAATATAAACTACTAAAACAAGAAGATTCAGGAGTATGCTGGATGTGATATGTAAGTTTTTTTATTTTTAATTTTAAAAAATAAAAACCAGATCCAGTTTCTGTTGGTTTTATTGTTTTGAAGTGCCCTATAGACTGTGGTTTACCTTAATCAATTCATAAAACTGGAATATCCAAAAAAGAAAGAAAAGAAGTAAATATGAAATTATTGAAGTAGTGATTTTACAAATCAACACCATCAGTTTAATACTGAATGATTCATGGTTCACAAAAGCTGTATTGCTATGTTAAAGGAGTTGGAATGTGGCCACCTCCAGCCTTTTTTGGCTCTTCCATACTGATGAACTATCAGAAGTTTATTGTTGAATTGGAAAATCTGTGTCAGCAGGATCATGACTGGTAAAATATTTAGGCCAGGTTAGAGCTTTATAACTTTTGTCTTTGGCATGATTATCAGGAGACGAGACATATCCATTTTCAGGCTGCAGAAGAGATGCTAGAGAACATTATTTTTTTCTTCAATTAACGACACTACTTTCTTTGTTTCCAAGTTGAACTTGATGTCTATTATCAATTGTAGGCATTCTGATCAAGCATCTTTATTGATTGATTTGGAACAGATTGTTAAGGAAGATGAAGAACCTGCAGAATTCCTTGCATTGTTGAGCTCTTGGCAACACTAGCACAATAGAGTACAAATTGAGGCTCACGTTTCTTCCCCATTTCTTCAATTTGCACAATTCTCTGCAGCTTTGTCTGGCAAGAATTCTCCTGGCAAAACCATTAAGGTAATTGACTATCTGCTAACCTTGTTGAATAAATTGTGTTATAATTAGAACTTATATTATGTGATCATAAGATAATTTGTTATGCCATTCTCGTTCTGTATTACCACATAATCACATTAAACCATGAACTTTCTAATAAGTGTCGTGCGTGTGTTTGTGTTGGTTAATCCATTCATGAGCCTGTATAATTTCACACATATGTTATGTACTTCCGCACCCAAAAGAATATATATATAATTGCCCTCCCACCTTAGCCTAAACAGATTCTTCTAATTAATGACTGCCCTAATCAGTTTTGTTAAGTATTCCCTAGTGTTGTTGACAATACCTCTATACCCTTTACTGCCTTCCCTCTCCTAACATTATTCACTCCTTTCAAGTCCCATCCTAATTTAGGCCCATGTAGTAATCTTACTTCTCACTTAATTTCAAATAATTTAACTTTCCACTACTCTAAAATGCTAGACATGATTTTTTCATGACGTGTATTATATAATAAATAAAAATTTTACTAGTACTCTTGCCGTGTAATGGGGTATACTAAATGTTTTCACCAGATTGTTACTGCTCCAATTACATTGTCAAGGGAAAGAGAGAGAAGCATGATGAAAAAAGAAGAGGAAGGAAAAGGAGGAGGTGTTGGGCGGGGGCGGGAATGTACACTTAGTTTTATCAAATAATGAATTCATTGTACTCAAATAATTGTGGGAAGAGTTATCTTGATTTTTATGCACATAACAAGTTCTTTTTATAATCACTGTCCAAATCTTTTAAAAAGTATGCGACTCAGATTCTAAATTCTTATATTTTTACATAAATAATTGGGGTATTTGAACAATTGTTTTTTTTAAGATAATTTAAATTTTCTAAAATGACATAAAATTTTTTTCCCTGGCATTGTGCGAGACTTGGACCTCGACCTTCCACATTGGGAGGTAAAGGAGATACCACTAGATTACACCTTGGTGGTGCGTATGGTTTTAATTAATTTGTTTACTTTTTCAGTTGCAAGATTTCGATTTAACGCCTCTAAAAGCTTTTTACATATATTGACCCCCCAACCCCAAAGGAACAATTCCTGGATCTGTCAGTATTACATATATTTTTTTATCCTTTATGAGCAAATATTTTGTTTTTCTTCAAATTGTAATCTCCTGAGTATGATCTTTCTACAGGAGGATGCTCTCTCAAGTCTCGGTGGCAATTCGCCTGGTTGTACAGTGCCCATGACACACCTTGTAACCTCAAAGCCGTTTGGTCTGCTGACTGAACTTCTGTATATATTTGCTATGACTAGAAACAGATTTCAGAAGGCCATTCCAGGCAAAATAGATAGCATTGAAATTTCGGCATTCTCGCAAAGTCTCTGTTCATTTTCTTGTGTATGTTTAACGCATGGAAATTAATATCCAGCTGCAGCTAAAAGGCTGTATAACACAAGCCTGTGAAATAATAGGTGCAAAATATGGCCAATTTTCCCCTTGTGAGCTGTTGGGTTTTATTCTCATTGTGTCAAGGCATTGAGAATGTGTTTCTTTGATTAATTTATAGGAGTTTGTTATTGGTAGGTTTCTAAATTAAATCGGATTGCACATTTTTTAGAAAACAGATCGTCGCCGTGCAATTTATGAGCCTAAATTCAACCATTAGAAACATGTCTGATTAACCTACTCAATTTTTCATAGTTTTTGTGCACATATTTGTACTAAGAAAATGATAGACGCGGTAAATATTTATTATCATTGGATGCATGTTTGTAGATCCAAAAAAAAAAATAAAAAAAATAAATCTTTGACAAGATCCTTGTCCATGCATTAGAAGGGCTCTGAATTGCATTATGTTTTAGGATCATTCCTGAGTTTTTTAATTTTTTTTTTACCCAAGTTTTTAGGTATTTAGGGTGCAAGTTGGGCAGGCCCAACCCAATCTCAATCCGAATCGAGTTGGGTTGGGCTAACCCGAATTGTACCTAATATGAGTTATGATCGTAACTCAGTCCGAATATTTTTGAACATCTTTCAATTTCCATCGCCCGCTATTCCAGAACGGGTTCGCCGTTCGCAAGCTTCGTATGTTGTAGTCCAACGTTGAATGTGAGAGATAGTCATTGATGTGGCTGCTACATGCACCATAAAACGTGGATCTGTCCTCAAAACTCCAAATTGATAATAATGTCAAAAGTAGAAAACATTACACGTCACCATCCATTCACTTCAAATCACAGGTTATCAAATTGGAACTCTCTTTGTTAGGCCGTCTCAATTTGGTATCTTCTATACATCACTCATGCCAAAATATTAACCCATTTCAGTTTCATCCATCTGTCTGCAACAATCAAAAGTTCAAAACTCATATCGGTATATCATTTCAGATTGTTCAAAAAATCAAAACCCAAATCTTTCAGTTTCCATCGCCCGCTGTTCCAGATCGGGTTCACCGTTCGCAAGCTTCAACCGCCGTCTCTCAACTCTCAAACTTGCCCCCCTCTCTCTATCTGCAATTGCTAACTTGAATGTATGGGGCGGCGGTAGAGAGAGAAAGAGAGAGGAGAGAGAACGGAGAAAAAAAATTGAAATTTATTTTATTTTTTTTATTTTTGGGTTTTGGATTGAGTTCGGGTTGAGCCCGAGCCTAACCTGAATATGTCTGAATTTTGATAAAATTCAACCTGAATATAAACCCAATTTGTAAACTTAAAGTCCAAATTTCAAATTTTCAGGTTGGGCTGGGTTAGCCCGCCCAAATTGCAGTCCTAGTAGGTATGTAATCGTTTTTGTAAGGACTAGATTGTGCATGAAACAAAGGCATAGTGGTACATGTGATAGCATGACATGTTTAATTTAAGTTTGTGGAAGCTTGGAAAAGATCTATACAGTGAGAATGTACACTGTCTAATGAACATGTCTTCATTTATTGGTGGTGTATATATTCATCATATCTGATTTGATTGGGTAAGTGTGTTTTGATTTTAAAGAGGACGTATCCTTTAATTATTGGTCAATATCCTTTAATTATTGGTCAATATTAACTTACATATTTACTGATGAGCACATAAATATTGTCATTCTCTACAAAATATGATAAAATGTGCCTACTAAAATTAATAATGAATTCTCTATGCAAGTATGCCTACTAAAATTAACAAAAAGAAAACTAAAAATAAATAATTCAGAAGATAAATTGAACATAGATAAATTTTAATGGGGTAAAGTGCAATATCCCCATAACTATTGGCCAAAAACACAAAACCCTCTAAACTTAAGTAATGCTGCTGAACTATTTAAAAATTGTAATTTAAGGACAAAGCCAACAGTAGCCGGAGTTCACCGGAAATATTAGATTGCCAAAGTGCCTTCTATTTAAAAATTGTAATTTAGGCTCAGTTTGATAGAGTGGAAATGGAAGGAAAGAGAAGGGAAGGTGACTAAAAAATTGTGTTTGGGTAAAATGGGTGGAAGGAAAGGGAAGGAGAGGGAAGGGTTTGGAGGGTTATGTATAGACTTCTACAGTGATTTGTTTAACCTCCCAAAAATGGGAGGAAATGGAAGGAAAGGGAGGGCAATGGTTGATGTAATATTTGTGATGCCAATTTTACTCTCAAAACAATATACATACAAGTTAGCAGTTGCAGAAAGAATGGAGAGACGGCGGGCAACGGTTGGGAACGGCGAACCCGAACTGGAACAGCAGCGATGGAAACTTAAAAGATATGGGTTTTGATTTTCTGAACAATCTGATATACCGATATGGGTTTTGAATTTTTGATTCTTGCAGACAGAAAGATAAACTGAAATATATGGGTTTGGGATTCTTGCAGACAGGAAGATAAACTAAAATATATGTGTTTGGGTTTTGAACTTCTGAATCTTGTAGAGAGAGAGAGAGGAGGAGAGAGAGTTGAGAACGATAATAGAAATGGAGGTCGAGATTGGGGAGGCTGAAATGATTTGCCCTGGATCGGAAACTTCAAGAACGAAAGTTGTTACAACTAGATCTGGATCGTCTAATTCTTTCTTGATTGACCTTCGTTCAAGAAAGAAAATTTTCTTTCCTTTTCTTGCGGCCCAGCTCCTAATATAGGAGAAATATATATATATATATATATATATAAGGGTATAATAGTAAATTTATTATTATCCTTCCCTTTCCATTCTTTTTCCAAACATAATTATTATTCTTCTCTTTCTTTTCTTTCATTGACCAACCAAACACAACGAAATGTTAAAATTATCCTTTCCTTCTCTTCCCTTCCTTTTCCCCCACCGTACCAAACATACCCTTAAGGACAAAGCCAATATCTGCCAGGAGTTCACCGAAAATGTTAGATTACCAAAGTGCCCTCGAGTAAAATGACATCTTTTCACTATTTTAATAGCCGTTGTTACTGATGTCTCAATTGCAATTAGAACAGCCAATAGCATTGTGACACAACATCAACTTATCACAATAACCAACCAACATTACTTGCCAAACACCGCCTTATACTAAACGAAATACCACCTGTACGGATATGATGAATCTATATACCATGTCTAAACTCGCAGTCACTATATCACCAATCAATTGCAACCTCCGACACCCAACTTCGCCGACTAGCCCACAACTATAACCGGCGACAACCACAGACGACTCCTGATATTTTGATTGGGATCTGATTTGGCAAATAAAACAAAATTAATCGCGAAATCAACCTCAATTAAATCATTGATGGAGGCGGAGTGAAGCTCTGAATTTTGTTCTTGTCGTTGTTGTTGTTCTCTCCCGGTAGCCATGGTTACTGTTGCTATATGAATCTTTGGAATCCAAAGCCGCCATGATTGAGTTGTCCACTGTTGTTGGGTTTAAATATTTGGGCCTTTTTTTTTTTTTTTTTTCCTGGAGAATTGAAGGTGATGATGGATTGGTGTGGTATGGGGATTATTTTTCTTTGTACGTGGGTGATGAGTTTGCAGATTTGTTTGGTTTGGAATACTCCATCAGCCAGAGTCCATGATTTGATTGTGTTCAGTTACAATTTTTTTCCCCCTAAAAATCAATTTTTTTTCTTCGTGATTAATTATTCGACCATTCTCAATCTTCTAAAAAATAGCAAAAGAAGGATTGAAAGAGTCATATTGTGTGTTTGTATATATTCATGTCTTCCAGCAAGATGCTTTGTTGGTGAGCAAAAACAAATTGAGGATTTTTTACTTTCTCTATATATATAATCATATACAAAATTGTTCACTTGCAAGAAAATGTATTTACACCCGTATTAATTGTTAGATTTTATTAAGTAGTTAAAAAGATAATTTATTCTTTTATATCCAGGTTAAGATTTAATTTAGATAATTTATTCTTTTATATCCGGTTTAAGAATTAATTCGTTCACAAATTTCTTGCAGATAATAATAATCCTACAAACCTATATATCCATCACGTGTTTGCTCCAACTTCTCCTTCGTAAATCTAACGAAAGTGTCACTTCGTGTGGAATAACAAAATACATTTTCATCGTCTTCAGTGAAGAAATTGAAACACAGAAGTGAATAAATTGGGTGCAATTTTGCAAATGCAGGTATAGCTTCCCAAACTGAAAATCATAATTTTCTTAATAAATGACAAGAGTTATGGTATTTAAAAAAAAAAAAAAATATTATCTTTTACATCATAAACAACAAAACTAGAAAACCAGCACCTTCACCCAGTAATAACAATAATAGTTAGATTTGCAATAATGAAAGATTAGGTACAATTTTAGCTTTAATTCCCTCCAATATTTCAATTAATGAAAGCAATATATATATATATGTTGATGTTAAAAGAAAAAGAAAAAAGAAAACAAATAATTTACCATGGGATTAAATTCTAAGAATTAAATTTTTTTATTAAACTCATTTTATATGCATTAACAATGTGAAAAGAGATTTCATTCACGAGATTCATGATAATTTTGTGAGAGTTTGTTCTATCAGAAATAATATACCTGTTAGTATCATAGTTGTGGAAACTAGATTCTAATGGATGAAGAAGGTAAACCTACTAGGCCTATGGGCTGTATTTTTTGGGTTACCTCTGTGGGCTTGTAACAGCAGTCTTAGCGAGTCTTTCAGCCGAATAGACCCATCCAGCTTTTGTACATTACTTATGTATAAGCGGGGCTTAGTGGTGCTATATCACCCAGTTTCTGAGCATTATTGAGAAATATTTATTTTGGGGGCAAACTTGTAATATAAATTTAAATTTTTAAACAAAATAAAATAAAATAATTGAAAAGAATTTTTTTGTAATGCACTTTTGAATTTTTGTTAGTCACAATGTCTACTCATAGAGTCCTAAACTCTCTTCACTATTCCTTAGAAATAATTATATACAACAATTATAAAAATTTCATATTAACTAATAAAATCTTAAACTTTATCCTACGAATTTTATATGCAAAAATAGTTTTATATTATTCCTAATCTCTGTGCATGTGTCATATTAATTATATATATACTT